TCGGCATGGAGAGAGATGAACTGGACATGTCAGTGGCCCGTATGGTCCGTGCCAACTTCTGCAATGTAGAGACCCTTTAGCAGCTGCACAGAAAATAATGTGTGGTTTTTCATTAATGGTTCTAGCCCACCGTTATGACTTTATAAAAGACAGACGTATCAGACTTGTCAGGCTAAGCTCCAGTTAGGAATTTGCCACAACAGAAGCCACTGAAGAAAAGCAGTGTTGGAAGCCAGCACCCATGAAGACACAATACACTATGTTCAACTTTTTGACTGGAACTTTAAGGGGGAACCAAAAATTTTACCAAAATTTTAAAGAATTAAATGGTAAAGACACAAACAAAGTCATTCAGTCTGATTTGATTTGACTGATGTTACATGATCAATTCTAGAGAAATATATGGAGTCAGAATTATTTATAATAGTGGTGATATGAACCAGATGTCTGAAGCGTTCAATGACTCTTAAAACTGCCTCACAGCCTTTATATGAAATTGTTATGAACATGTTGCAGTAGTTTTGTGATAATGATTTGGCCTAAAACAGTTTTACATTTTATGTTATGAAAGGTACATGCAGGGCAAAACAGCATTCAAAGAAAATATATTTTTTTTAGATTTAACATGATTTTTCCCTTTTCCACACTACATATAAAACTCAGACAGGTGTAGGTTAACTGATCATTTTGGATAGTAACTAAAATGGCTATAATTGCACTGTAGACATCATGATCATTCAAAGAAACTCACTTTCTATCACTCTCATTATGTCCGGACAATCTTGTAATCTTATTACATTTTGCTTACATATTTTACATTGTATAATTTAAGGGTTATTTCATGCAAATTCATCTAGGGCATGATTGGTCATGTCATTGATTTCCACTTAAGAAATCAAGTATAAAACATTTTACAAATTTAATTTATGCAACTTGCAACCAGCAATTTCAGTACTGTGCTTTATATATACATACATATATATATATATATATATATATATATATATACACACACATAGTAAATTACTAAAAATTCATTTAAAATTACATGGTTTCATATTAACACATTTACACAACAGGTTCATTTTTCAGGGTGTGCTTTTTTATGTCCAAGAAAGAAATCTTTCATATTTGAAATTGTAACCATTCAGCCAATTTTTTATATGTTTTATGGAGTATTCTCATATCTCTATCACACCTGTAAAATTTCCGCAGGCAATTTTAAAGCTACACAATCAGCTCAGAATAGCTTTAAAAAACAACTCTCTCACTCTCGCTCTCTTTCTCTCTCTCTTTCTCTTTTGGAGCAGAGTACTGAATTTTTGCTTGGATATATGAACTAAATAAAAGTTTTTTTCTTATTTGTTTCATGGACATCTACAAGGTGCCCTGTGAGCAAGAATGAAATACTCCGTATGACTTCATTAAAAAAGTTAAATAAATAAATAAATACATACATAAATAAGAAATATCTGGAAGATGAATTAGTCAAGCGTCTTATATGTGCAGACCAAGATAAATAACAAATTCATTAATCAGGAGTTCTTTAAGCAAGATAAGATCAGCCTGATCCAGAAATTACAAATTTGAGCAAAAAATGAAATGGAGCATCTCAGTTTAGCTTTGAAACATATGACAAACATAGTAATTCCTCTATTGGCAACACTTAAACCACATGCCAGAGACAGAGGTACTCACCTGGAATTCAGCACACTGCTAAATCACTGCCACACACAACCTGCAGTGGCAGCTAGAGATGCTGAATGCTTCACTGCGAAAGGAGGGAATGGGAAGAGGAGAGGACAGAAAAGGGGAGAGCGGGAGACACAGATGAAGAAGCTGTTCTCTCCGGCAACGTTGCCATAGCGACATTTGAAGAGGGGCTGAGAGCTCGAACATGACATCAGTTTAGGATGACGATGAGATGGAGAGAGAAAGAGAGAGAGGAAGGAAGAGCGAGCACACATCATATCTGACCCATCTTATGCAGTGACCAACACAGGAGAACACAAACTGGACCTTGGGGAATAAAGTCAGACAGGTTTTCTGTATTTCCAGATGGGCAGAGAACAGAATAAAGCAGTAAAACAGTAATTTATGAAGGTTTCTATAATCACAGCTGTGAATTCACTCTAGATTCTACATGGACCATCCTACCGAATCAGGTCAAACTGTGGCCCCGCAGCAAATTGAAAAAAATTTGAAAAAAAACAATCAAATATTTAGATCTTAGATATTTACAAGCACTATGTCATCTATTTAAAACACTTGTGAAAATAATATTTACATTTTTGTATGTTTAATGTTGTTTTTTAAAGATCTTTTTGATTTCTTTTCAAAGAGAAGTTGAAAGATTTACGCTGGAATGATTATGCTGCAAGAGGATGACCAGCAAGAAGATGGATGGATAGAATCGAGAAGCTTGTGACCCAAATAGAAGGCAGGATATGGTGGAGGAACACTATCCATATGGTGGCCAGGTGTCAGAAATAACTTGACAGCACGGAGTGAATCTGCATCCCTGTCCCGTCATGACCACATGGTGAGCCCAAAGTTTGAAAATTAGTGTGTTATATTAAGAATTGTCACAACTGAAACACACATTTTCTACAATTAAGTCAATATTTTTGTGTTTTAATAAAATATTATGATTTTATGTGTGTACATCTGTTCAAAGCTGTGTTTGCTAGTCATGTACTGGCTAGAGATTTTCAGTTACTTTGTCTCTGCTAAAACAGTCACTACTGAAATATTGGCAGTGTTTCGGTAGTGTTATGATTATTTTTGTAATGACAACATGTAATGTTCAATCATTTATTTTAATACATTAAACACAATTAAAGGATAGGATCATTCAAAACAAAATGATTTTAGTCTTTATGCAAAAGTTTGAATACCCCTGGTCAAATTTTAGTGTACAAACGCATACAACATAAAATGCGCCAAAACATTTGCATAGGACACGCTTTGTTTTATTTTCTTACAGAAAGTTAAATTCAGCAAATACACAATATTAGTACGTTAACAAGTGCAGAAGTGTGTTCTCTTTAGAAAACGTGTTACTTATTAACAACATGTCATTTGAACAGGGGTACCTAAACTTTTGCCTACAGCTGAACCTATGCTGAACCCTAAATCTCACATTTTCACTTTAACCTTACCCTCAACCCAAAACCTAATCCCAACACTGGACCTAATCCTAATTATGATTCATCACATAGTGTGTCAACAGTTTCAGCATAAACTTTAGTGTAAACTACACTAAGTCACAATAAAGTATGTAAAATAAAGTAATCCACCTGCTAAGATGACATGGGTTTTTAACAAAACCGGCTACTCTTTGTGTCCTCTGGCTCATCTTTTAGTCTCAAATTTGCCATTAAGGGTAGTTTGCATGCAGTTTCTGCTGATTAGCATCAGATTTGAATATTCATTCAGTGGGTGCAAGATGGAAACATGCGCTCTGCTAACATAATTCATCAGCTATTTATAACAGTGATTTTTTTCTCTTCAGAGATGTCCAGACAATACTAACAGGAAAAAAAAACTAAATTAACACATCCTATATGGAAAACACACTTCTGCATATTTTCATGGATAATAACTGCTTATTTGATATATTTAGTGTAGTGGGAAAAAATAAAACATTTTGGCATGATCCAAAAGTTATGGCACATTTTATATTTTATGATTTCTTTGGACTGTGTCCACTCACTACAGGCACATTTGCTTATGTACCACTTATGTCTTACCTTTGATGGTGTTTTGAGTAACATTTGGCATTTTCAGCAAGCCTATGTAAACTTTTGGATAGGTAGAAAATGACATACTTCATTGAACAAACCTTCCAGAATCTCACCTTGAAATGTCCCCAGTTAGATCTTTTAACCACGACCAGAGCTTCACTTTCAAACACTGCCACACTGAAAGGTGAACAGACTGAAGGCTTGCTTCAACAGTTGCTAACCAGTGACTGGAGGGCTGGGGAAAACTAGGTGGAGCGGCTGGAGAACATTCACTCAACACAGCACTCACAGAAAGCAAATGAAATTTCATTATCTTACAAATGTTGGCCTAATAAATATTTTTCCCCATTTGATTGGATAGGCCTGTGATTGATTTGGGTAGGCCCAGTCCCGCCCACGTCTACCCATGGCCACACCCCTGGAGCACAGTAATGGGTATTGTTTAGTGTATTGTTTGCTGCACATCACATGCATGGAGCATTGCAAAGAAATGCCAAATTGCTGGCCATGTTGTTTGTTTTTACTTTTTATGATTCCATTTTTACTCTTTTGTTGTGCTTTGTCAGCACAAACAGAATTAACATAATGTTTAGCATAGAATGAGCTCAAAAAAACAATCCAACAGGCTGGGGAGGGTGTAAACATACTGAGAACGAGTGTGATTAAATAGATAGATAGATAGATAGATAGATAGATAGATAGATAGATAGATGGACATGCATTTCATAGATATTTTGAGAGGAATTGAAATACTGAAACAGGATGAGTTATAAAGAATTGCTAACATTTTTAATGACAAAGTCCAATTACACTGATAACAGTTCTGCAGTTCACAGTCACACTCACTCAGATTATGATTGGCTAGTTGATACAGCACAGACAACAGAACTAAAGGAGAACACTTTGTTTCCTGAGTCTCAATCAAAAGTTGAGGCCATGATCACCCCATTTCACTTAACTCACAGCACTGGCAGACAAAGCTGCTGAACATTTCACTGGATTATAGTGTGTGTGGTACCAATCCTGTTAAACTCAATTCAAAAGGGTAAATATCCAGTCAGTCGGATTATTTTCCAGCAGGGATTCTTCTTTTTTTCAGAAGAGAGTGCTAATTTGTGGTGTATTAGAGGTTTGGTGGCTTTAAAACACAACCAATGTTGTTAATCATAACAATCGTCACTGAAAGGCTACATACAGAGACACAGTGTTTTGGACATAACCATGCCTCATTGATCTGGACTGGATCAGACCGCTGTTTGTTTGAGGGTGGAAGAGCAGGCATCTTCATTTCTTCCTGTTCACAATGTTGTTGCAGATCCAGTTCATTCCATCCTGTGAAAATATATATACATATATATAAGCAAAGGAATTAAAAACAGAAACAAACACATATACTGATCTGAATGATAAGTGTGGGCCACCTTATTACTACTCTATTTATAGTCTGTCTTATCCTATAATGTGATCAACTTCAGCGTGTTCTGAGATACCTTGTGCAAGGTGAGTTTGTATATATTAAAGAGCCCTTATTTTTATTTTATTTTAATTTTTTGACATTTGTGTGGGTTTATTTACCAAAAACAGTCATAATTCATTTGTACATGACCATTTTCCAACCTCTTTTTTTATCATTTAGAATTAAATATGATGTTACTTTGGCTTTATGACTGATAAATGTAAAAGAGTTCTGTTCTGATTGGGTGCCCTGCTAGGAAAGCAGTATGAGCTGTAATCTTCCTTATAACATTAGGATGAATGGGTGGAGTTGTAGGCTGAATATGTAGAAATATGTAAATACACTCATTTTCATGACATCACAACAGTATATTTAAACGCAGCAGTTCTTTTTTCAGCTTAGTTTCTATATGTGGGCTGTATGGACTGGGGAGTAAAGAGTATGCTATGAATCTTTAACAGTGTTTACATATTAAATCAAAGGCACTTTTCTAGGATATGAGCTCAGAAAACACCTCAGTGAAAAAAGTCAAGCTCTTCCAGCAGATTATCCAGCAGGGGAATGATCCAAAGCACACCTCAAAATCAACACAATAAATGGTTCATTGATCGCAGAATCAAAGTTTTGCAATGACCATCCCAGTCCCCTGACCTAAACCCCATAGAAAACTGTGGGATAAGCTGAAGAGGAGAGTCTACAAGCATGGAATTTTAAGGATCTGGAGAGGTTCTGTATGGAGGAATGGTCTCAGATCCTTTTCCATGTGTTCTCCAGTCTCATTAAGCTTTATAGGAGAAGACTTAGAGCTGTTATCTTCGCAAGGGAGGCTGCACAAAGTATTAAATGAACGGGTGCCAACAACTACGGTGCCTGCAGATTTAATAAAAATATTTATTTCAAGATAAGATTTTTTTTTTTCAATCTTTGTGCTTCAAAAAAGGTTTTTGTTTTGCTTTTTGTTTCATGTTACCAGGGCTGCCAATTTTCGCAGAGGGCACTATATTTAGTGCTGTGGATAGATACAAAAACAGCGTTATGAAGATAATTTACATCCCTGTGATAACAATGAAAAAGAAAACCCTGACATTATGGTACCACTACATATGGGCACTGCTGGTCAAACGACATGATTTGTTGATTTTCTAAGTGAAAATAAGTTACATGTCCTCTACAGAGAGCACACTTCTGCACATTTTAATGCACAATTACTGTTCTTTTATGGAATTTACCATTGAGTCTCAGAGAAAATCTGTGCAAATGGCACATTTTATACAGTATGTTTTGTTTTTTTTCCAAAACGTAGGTGTAATATTTAAGTTTGTTTCCTGTAGAGGATGTGCTTACTTAATAACATTATTAAATGATTACAAAGTAGTATGTGTGAGTATAGAGCTGAATATAGACAGAGTTAGGCCTTTGGTGCCCCCTGGTGTCAGTCACCTGTACTCCCTCTCCGCTCACAGCTGAGCAGGCCTGGATCTGCCACACTCGGTCTCTGTAGGTGTGCAGGTTCAGACCCTCTGCAATCTCGCTGGCCGGAGACGCCGTGGCCAAATCCTGCTTATTCGCAAAGATCAGCACAGGCACACCTTTCAGGTTCTCCTCATCTATCAGCTCAGACAGCTCCTACATACACAAACACACATACATGGAAAACAAGTTAGTGTTATTTTAACCACTAATGTTTGAAAAACTGTAAATTATTTTTGTCTTTTAGGAATACAGACCTGTTCTACTGTAATATTCACACTAAATGTCTTTCTTAGAACATACGTAAACAGATAAAGGTCTGCAGGGCATTTTGCAATGATCCAGATACTATCATGATACCATAATGTCAGTGTTTTCTTTTTGATTGTAATCACAGCCATGTAAATTATCCTCATAATGCAGTGTTTGTGGTCTGTCTAGCACAGCAGGGCCTCTGTGGTAATTTTGTTTGTATGATGGAATATCAGAGGGAGTTTCCTGGTGCCATGCAAATTTCATTTACTTCCTGTTTAATTTCCAGTCAAACTGGTTATTAAGTAAAAGTTATTCATTTTCCAGCATCAGAAAAAAGCAGAGAACATACATGTAACAGATAATTACACTGCTGTGAAAAAGTATTTGCCCCTTCCCAATTTCTTCTTTTTTTTTTTGCATATCTGTCACGCTTCAATGTTTCAGATCATCAAACTACTTTTAATATTAGGCAAAGATAACCCAAGCAAACAAATAATGCCGTTCAGCCCTACATGGCCCTATGTGAAAAAGCTACTAAATCGACCAGTTAACTAAATTGAATTGACTATTGGGTTCAGTTTCACTGGCCACACCCAGGCAGGATTAATGCCAGACCTGTTGAATCTAAACATCACCTAAATAGAACCTGTCTGGCAACATGAAGCAGGCTAGAAGGTCTCAAAAAGCAGCACATGATGCCACGTTCTAAAGAGATTCAAATACACATGTGAAACAAAGTCATTTAAATCTTCCATAGGTTTAGGGGCGATTACTTTTTCACACCAGTGATTTACGTTTGGAATAAATCGTTATCTTCAATAAATGGAATGATCATTTAAAAGCATTTTGTGTTTACTCATTTTGTCTTTATCTTATATTAAAATGAGCGGATCATTATTCTAGTGCAAATGTTTTTTTTTGTGTGTTTTCCTTTCTCAGTAACGGCTTCTTAACAGCTCAGCTGTAACTGGTTGGTTTTAATATTGGAAGGATGGAGAAGTTCAAGTGACAGTGAAGAGTGGACAAAGTAAATACTGATAGATTTGATATTATACTTAGTGTCGAAGGCTTCTCTGTTATATAAGTTTTGCGTTTTTTTCTGAGGCTGAAAACGAATAACTTGTACTTAATGGTCATTTTAAGTGGAAATTCAATAAATGAAAGGGTGGTCTCTGACTTTTGCACAGCACTGCAATTTTGAGCCTTACCATTCCTGTTTCCTCAAACCTCTTCTTATCTGCACTGTCTATTACATAGATCTGGAAACAAACAGATGAACAACTGCAATTTAGTGTCCAGAGCTGGAGAATAAGGTCAGCACAATGGTAATTGTGTAAGATATCTACTGTATAGACAAGCTGAACACAGTAATGTTACTACATTTGGGAGAAAAATCACAGATAAACTATTAAGCCATCAGACTGAATGTTGTACATAGGACATATGGCAGAGAGGTGCAGAGAGGGAGGAGGGATGGGGGAGGGGGGAGAGAGAGACAGAGAGAGAGAGAGAGAAAGAGAGAGAGAAAGAGAGAGAGAGAGAGACTGTGTGACGTCCAATGGCAGAAATAACATGCAAATGTCTCCTGCTAAAAACAATGGAGCCTTTGAGTCAGCAGCAAAGGTAAACTCCTTTATTCAAAACCAGACAGTTGGCTGATTACAGGCGAACCATTATTAGTTGACACAAAGAAAAAGGCATAGAGACAGAGGCTGAATCCTCTCCTCACCAGCAAATCTGTGTTTTCTAAGTATTTCTTCCAGAAAGGCCTGATCTTCCTCTGTCCACCGATGTCCCACACGTTCAGCTTCATCCCATGAGAGGCCACACTCTTTACATTAAAACCCTACAAATACAGCACTACAATCAATAAAACTGTAGTTAAAGTGAATTTTAAAAAATATTATGCTGTTGGGAAAACAGCTCTCTGTAATCCGTCAGCATTAAGATAAGCTGTAGTATATGTGTCCACAAAAAAATCTATTACTCAGTTATTACACATAAAGGCAGGTAAACATCAAATATGACACATTATATGTCCAAAAATATCCAGACACCCCTTTGAATTAGTGAATTCAGCTACTTTAAGGTGCACCCATGACTGGCACAGTTCAGGAGTCCATCTAGTATAATCTCCATAGAAAAACATAGCCCAGTAGAATGGGATATTGTGGAGCATTCAGACATTCAGAGGCTAAGGTCATAATGTATAAAGCGATTCATTGGTTAGGGGTGTAAAGACCCCCAGCATTGGGCTGTGGAGCAGTGCAACTGAGTTCTCTAGAGTGATGGAGCTCCATCCAATACCTTTGGGATGAGTTGGAATGATCCAGAACCAAATATCCAATCAATACCTGACCTCACTAATGCTCTTGGGGCTAAATACAATCAAATCCTCACAGCAATGTTCCAACATCTAGTGTAAAGCCTTCCCAGTAGACTAGAGACTGTTACTGCAATGAAGACTGGATGAACAGGTGTCTATAAACTTCTTAATGCATTTTTCTCTTCAGTGAACTCAACCCAGTTACATAGATAATTAGAGGAAGTGTTTGCAATACTTCGGACAATAGAGGCCAGTTTCCCACACCCACATTAAACCTAAAGGTTAATTCGAACAGAGATACTATTACTGCTCTGAGTCTGACAAATTATTCTCTCCAGATTAATTACTTAAATGATTTCTCACTTGTAAAAACTATAGACGTTGCAGATTTGTACTGAATTAAAATAATGGATCTCATTGATAATCACTCAAACTACAACACCTCCCCAGTAAAACTAAACCAGAATAGGGTTTAGGTCTAGACCACAAGCATTTCCAATGGTGACTCACCATTGGTGCTGCAGTTAAGTCCAAGACTAGGCTTATTCCATGTCCATGTCAAAATAGAGAAATTAAGCAATTTTTTTTTTAAATTTCATCCTATGAACAAAAGTTATTTAGCTGCTTTATTTAAAGTCACACTAAATATCCAGATACAAATCATCATAAAATATCTTCTAGTATCTTGATATAGTATTTTTGCAACATCACCCACCCCTAATATCACCCATTTGCTTGTCTTCTGTGTAAAAGTGTGTCTGTGTTCTTGTGTAAGAGTGAGCTGGTCCTTTGATTCTGGATCGGAGTGATTACTTCACACCTTTTACCTCTAAAGCTCGTGTGTGTTTATATGTTACCTGTGTAGGTGTGATAGTGCTGACGTCCTCTGAGGCCAAGCTCTTCAGGATGGTGGTTTTTCCTGCATTGTCCAGCCCAAGCAGAAGTATCCTCACCTCTTGCTCTGATGAACCCTTCAGTTTCTCAATAACTGAGAGCAAGCCCTGAGGGAAATTCCCACAAAGAGAGTTCAAAATCAGACTAACACACAGAAATCTGATGTCTATGTGTTCTTTGCTGTATTTTCTACTTTAAACATTTGTATTTTAGTGATTTTAGTCATGTTGTGGGGTGTTATAACTTTACCCACGTTCAATGTATCACACTACATTTACACTTATTACATATCAATATGCGTACTTGGTTTGCCACCTCAATGGTAGAATGACAAAGTTATTGTTACATTTTTATCCAAAATTGTCAAAAATATCACAAAAGGTTACTCCTTTCCACATTACATCACTATTAGCACTACTTACTTCTGCTCCTTGTTCCCATTCTCATTGTCTTATCCAAAACCTGACCTAAACCTGAGCTAAATCAATTACCTATATACCAACGGCACACTGTTGCCTTCCACTTACTATCACAAGCATTCACAGAGAAGAATAACTATCATAGATATCAGGTGATTTAAGGTTGTGGTGAACGTAAAGTGAACCTCTAGGCTAATTGGAACATTTAAGTGTCAACACTGTTTGTGTAAAAATGCTAATTTAGCTAAAAGATTCATGTAATGGCTAGCATCTTAGCATTATTAGATTAACATGGGCTCCCAGCCCAGCCTCGTTCTTTGCATAAGAGAAGGAAAGGAAAACATCACATTTCACAACGGCTCCTAGCTTGCTAGCCGAAAGGAGACTTAACCATGAAGCTAAATGCAGTGGATTAAAATTAATCCAGTGAGCAGGCTGTCCACAGCTTAGATTACCAAAAGTGCTGTCACATGTAAAACAACTATTATGATATTAAATGCACAATATATATGGCAGAAATAGTATTACGCTGATGCTATAAAGGATGTTTCTTATACTGTGAAGCATTTTCGACCAACACAGCTTTGATTAATAAACATTTATTCAAATGAAGATCCTGGTAATCAGTCATAAATTCAGTAAGAAGTTTTGTAGTAGTCATAGATTAGCAGTGGCACAATACCACTTTTTCTTTTCTGATACCAATGTCAATACTGAACCCTTGAGTATCGACTGATACCGGTCAGTAAAAATATATTTTAATTTAAAGCTATTTACTTAGACTCTCATGCTCAAAGTAGACTCTCATGCTCAAACCACTACCCCACAGGAAGAACTACCCAGCTAACGACTAGAAATGTAACAGGATTAGATCAGGATTCATTCTTTTATCTCCTCTAATATCTGATACCCAATAGTGGATAGTAATACCCATTGATACTGATGTGCCATCTGTACCATATATGTACAGTATGATATAATCATAGCCAGCTGTCATCTCTGGCCTGTAAAGGGTAAAGTATCAGTATAAACACTGATTGGATCTGACCGAGTTCATGTTGGCGTTGGTAGACACTCTCTCACACATACCTTTTGAGCTTCTCCCATCTTGCCTTCTGTCCCAGGTGCATCTACCTTCCCTGCTTTACTCCACAGGCCAATGTGGCTCCACCAAAGATGAGTCCAGTACAGTCCTTTAGGAGTTCTGCTGCTTACTTACAGACGCACTGAATTATGTTTTTTGAGCGTATATGTGAGTATATGTGTCTATGTAGCCTGTGGTTTGTGTTGAGTGTTGGTCAGCCAGTGTTGATGAATTGTGAAGCGTGGAGGGGGGCAGTGAGGGGATTAGGAGGATGGAATTAGCCTTCATCTCTCTCTCTCTCTCTCTCTGTCTCTGTCTTTCTCTCTCTGTCTCTGTATGTGTTGAAGATTTACCTGGATTATCTCTCTACCAGCTGCTACTGTGTGGAATCACCCTGACTGACCAGCACTGCTCACTATAGTAATTTTACAGACTATGCTAATCTACTGTGCTATGCGCCACTCTATTGTAATCTAGGCATTTCTGCCACATTTTAACCTAATGAACTCATTACTGTATCAGAGACCCCTAGACTGCAGCCCCACCCTGTTGCCGTGCAATTAGAGACCATCTGCTGATGTATAGTTTGTATTATCCTTTTATCAATAATCAGTGTCTGACCACAGAGCTGTTCCTCTAGTAAAGTGGCAAGTAAGTGGAAGTACAAAGTGGGTGTTTCTAACAAGGTGGCCAGTGATTGGAGGAACAAGGTAGGTATTTCTAATAAAGTGGCCAGAGAGTGAAAGTACAAGGTGTTTCTAATAAAGTGGCCAGTGAGTGGACATACAAAGTAGGTCTTTCTAATAAAGTGGCCAGTGAGAGGAAATACAAGGTGGGCATTTCTAATAAAGTGGCCAGTGAGAGGAAGTACAAGGAGGTACAACCCATTCTATTCTATTCTATTCTATTCTATTCTATTCTCAATTTAAACAAGTTTTGGTCCCCTAATACTACATTACCTTTACAGTATTCACATGTTTAGTGTCCAGGTTTTAGAACCTTTTCTCTAATCTTGTTCTTTTTCATAGTATTTATTGATCCCTTTTTACAGTAACTGCATGTAATATTGCAGCTTCTTTCAGAGATCAGTGTAATCATGTTGTTGCTGTGACTATTTTGAGCAGACTTGACCTGTTTAGGGATTAAGTGTTTCCGGGTGACCTATGCGAACCTGTGAGCTCCTGCCATGGCAATGTAGGTTAGGTGTGCTTTAGTGTGGGTTGTGCAGTGCACCTACAGCAGCTACAGCCATAAACACTGCTGTCAGTTTCTGCAGCTAATACACTTCAGCTAAGCGGAGGCTATTTGTTTGTTTCCTGTTGTTTTCTTCTGCAGTGGTGAGAAAGATTTTTTTGCCAATAATGGAACCGGGAATAAAAATGGCTTTAACTATGACTCTTTATTGAGCTGACAAATTACCATATAGTAAAAACCTCTGAATAAACTTCCCCAGGCAGAGAGATATTTATCTGCACTGCTAGTTAGTCTGCGACCATTATTCGTATCTGACTTGTAATCTTGAGTACACATGCAGTCATATGCAAAAATTTTGGGGCCCCAATCAAATTACATATTTTGTTTATTTGAAAATAAGTTAACACATCCTATACAGAGAACACAGTCCTGGACATTTTAATGTACAGTGTATTTGCTGAATTTCACAGGCTGGAAATAAAACATAAAATGTGGCCTGTGCAAAGGTTATGGCACATTTTATGCTTTATTTTTTGCCAGTATGTTAAACTCAGCAAAATACATAAAAACTGTGCACTAAAGTCTACTTATCCATCCAGCCACTTCTTTTAAAGCTACTGCTGTGAGGTTGGACAAACTTCACAGAACACAGACAAAAGTTCCATTCACCCTAATGAGAAACTGTAGTGCACAACTTCTGTGGAGCCATTAGTGTTACTGCTAGTAGTAGAAGCAACAAGGTCTTTATACAACCATTAACGTAGCTAGCATGCAATTTTAAAGAAGAACTCCACTGATTCTCCAACACGTCTGCATGATTAAATGGTTATGATATAAACAAAATCATGCTGATGTGAAAAGTTCTGTTCTTACAGAATCAGTGGTGATAGGCACGAGACATCAGAATTATCTGATGTCTTAAAAGTTCCCTCACTTAAAGTTATTACATGAAATGGTTACGAATGCACTGCCTGATATCTAAGACATTGTTCTACAGCAAGATTTTGTTCTACAGTAAGTGACCCCTCGTTCTTATCACCACCACTATAAAGAAATCAGAGCCAGTAAGTTTCTCTACAATGAACCATTTCACCCCAAACCCACTCTGAATGACTTTGTATCAGTTCTAATGATTGAATTATGCAGAAATTTTGAAATTACACCTTTAAAAATCAACTGAAGCCACTGAACGTCCTGCTTAGCCTACCAATCAGATGTTTATCCCTATAAACCTCAATCACACAAAAAATGATTACATCCAGTCTATTCTAACAGTGTGACCTTTCACCCAGACACAAAATAAATTTCATTTTACATTTATAACTTACTCCGAATGTAGGCATTCTGACTAAACTGGGCTGTGCAGCACAATTTCTCCTTTCTTGATTTTTGCCAAGGTTCTGTAAAGCTTATCAGACCTCTAACAGCTGCTATAAAACAACATATTTGTGGGCCGAGCATAGATAAGTTAATCAATTGCATGAAGCGATTATTATACAGCAGAGAAAGGAAAGAGTTTTCAAAGAGTAGTACATTAATATTTCTTTGGTTGTTTACTCCACAGCCATCCAGGTAGACCTGGGACTGATTAAATGGCTAATGGCTCTGTATAATAACACTCTAGCTGCGTCCACACATACTACTAATAAATGGACTTCTACAGGTGTACCATTTTTGACGTACTATGTATGGTAGCATGCGACTTTGGATGCAACCACTCTCTCTTTCTCTCTCTCTCTCCTTTTTCACCAGTAGCGTGGGACGGTGGTGGTGGTGCTGGAGATGTTTTGCATGTGTGTTTGCCTGTGGCGTTTCCTGGCCTCTCTTTGGACTAGAGAGAGGAAGAGAGAGAGAGAGAGAGAGAGAGAGAGAGAGAGAGAGAGAGACCGACAAGCAGTCAGAGATAGACAAAGTTGTACAGGCTTGGAATGTACCAGCATGTTCTCACAAACAGCTATGTGATTCATCTTTTAGTTGAATGAGTTGAGAAAGGAAACAGGCTGAGCTCACCTTCGTTTCTCTTTATCAAAACTTTCATAATGACAGCGAGCAGGATAATGATGACCACAGCTGATACCCCACAGATTAGCAGAATGATCCCTGCTTGATCTGCAAGAGCACAGAGAAAACACTCCAAATGAATCAATCAGGGTCAGAGTACTTGCATTTTTGTAAACCTATTGAATTACACCAAATTGCCAGTTTAATATGTACACCTACTTATTGGCCATTTTATTAGAAACACCTACCATATACAGTGAACATATAGAAAAAAATATATATATGAACACATATTTTTATATATTTGAAATACATGTCAAATACATTGCAGTCCATGCGGAATACATTTTAAAATATATTTGGTTAAAATGCCAATATTAGAATATATTGGCATATTAACCAAATATATTTTAAAATACATGTATTTCATGTATTAAATGTATGGGGAAATATTACACATAGAAATGCACTATATAAAAATAAATGTAAGTAAATGTATTTATCAAATATATTTGAAAATGTATGAAAATTGAAATGAATTTGTATTCCAGTATCTTCATTTTAAACATTTGCAAATTAACCTTTAATATGGCAAAAGCAGGTGTTGTAGGTGTTGATACACTGTGAAAATGTGGTTCAATGATTTGATGTCCGGTTTATTTGAGATACATTTAGTGTAAACACTGTCTTATACATACACTATCTTTATGCAAAGTACAATGCAAAACACAGACGTCAGTACCATTCATTTAGTTTGTGTATATGTAATCATATCTGTAACCTTTGTTTAAACTACATACACTTGAAAAATATAATAACAAATACAAATAAACGCATTTAAAAATAAATTTAACAAATAAATATTTGACCATTTTCATACATTCCAAAAATATATTTGATAAATACATTTGGAATATATTTTTTCCATATGGGTGGGGTCAAAAAGTTCAAAGATTCAAAGATTCTCAATCAAACTGTAATTCTGGCAATATTATTTGTAATAAAAATCTTTCTATTAAATTAGAAAGGAATGCGAAGTAGAAGCATTTTCATTACTGGTCTTAGACTTCTTGGACCCCGGACCCTTTAGCCCATCTGTTTATTGGCTCCCCTCTTCACCGTCCATCAGTGGAAAGGGATGAGCAGAGGACCATCGCTGTTGACCAGATCTGATTTGGGTGGTGACACTGTCATGGTAGTGTGTGTGGAGGACCATCTGGCGGTCCCTGAGAATCGGTTTGAAAACCAGTGCCTTAGAAGGCACAATGTATCCACCTACCCAGACAACACCGCACCCCTGGTTGAGCTACAAGGCCCACTATATAGCCAAAAGTATGCAGACGTCCCTCCTAATTATTGAGTTCAGATGTTTCAGCCACACTCATTTCTAACAAGTGTAAAAAACCAAGCACACAGCCATGTAATCTACACAGACAAACAGTGGGCTGCCAAGTGCTGAAGTGCGTAGACAGTAAAAATTGCCTAAACATCACTCACAATGGAGTTCCAGACTGTCTCTGGAACCGACATCCACCACTTTATGATATGGGTTTCTATGGCTGAGCAGCTGCACACAAGCCTAAGATCACTGTTCACAATACCTAGCATCGACAGGAGTGGTGTAAAACACGTCACCACTGGACTCTGGAGCAGTGGAAGTGTGTTCTCTGGAATGATGAATCAAGTTTCAGTATCTGGCAGTCTGATGAATACGGCTGCTTTTGGGAGACACCAGGAGAACACTACCTACTGGAATGCATAGTGCCACCAGTAAAGTTTGGTGGAGGAGGGATAATGGTCTGGGGCTGTTTTTCAGGGTTTGGGCCCCTTAGTTACAGTGAGAAGTAATGCTAATGCTACTGCATACAAAGACATTTTAGACAATTATATGCTTCCAACTTTGTGGCAACAGTTTGGGGAAGACCCTTTCCCAAATCCTCTCATGTGCACAATTTCCCACAAACACACTCCAAAATCTTGTGAAAAGCTTTCCCAGAAGAGTGAAAGCTGTTATACCCACAAAGTGGTGGTGGATGTCTCTCTGGAGATACGAATAAAAACTGCAAAAAAAAGTTAGCTTGTTTTTTTGTGCTATTGAGGTTTTATGGGCTAATTCACAAATATAATATGTAGAAATACTTATTGAACAGGGGTGTGTATGTATATATAATATATATGCAAAACACAAAAGTATGCAAAGGTGGATGTGTGTCATTGTAGGTCCAAAAGGGCAGATGCCCACGGTTTTGAAATGGGTTGTCAATCAAGCTCACATAGGTGTGATGGTCACGTCAAGTCAAGTCAAGAGGCTTTTCATGTGTCCATGTACTTCTGGACACAAAGTGTACATGTGTCTAGGAAAGTGGAGCTCATAGCCCAGTAACACTGCTGTGTCTGATACATGCATTTGAATGCCACACACACTACCATGTCAGTGTAACCACTGTGCTGAGAATAATCCACAACTCAAATAATATCTGGAAAAGGTGGTCCCTCTCCACTGATGGACAGGGGGCTAATAAACCTGAACAGTGCACCTAAATGCCAAGTGTTTCTGATAAAATGGCCAACACTGTAGGCATTTCCTAACAAACTGGCAACTCAGTGTGTATCTGATCTGATGTCTCTCCAAAGCTAAAAGATGTCATTATAATTACCGTTTACAGTCACACCCTGAGGGGCAGAGCTGAAATCCCCACATGGACTCCGTACAGTACATGATAGTGTAATCGTCTCCTTTATCTTCATAACCAAAATGCTTCTGTTCTCACCCTTAATCAACTGATTATTCTTTGACCACTCAAAGGCAATAGTCAGGTTTTGAGGCAGATCTTGAACACAGGTTAAGTTCAGTTGAGTTCCTTCGTCGACTGTGAAGGAGGTGGCAATCAACTGTACCTTGAAGTCTGAAATGGGGGCAAACAAAAGGCCAAAGGTGACACAGCAGGTCTTCTAAGCAATATAGATGTTGTTTCTTTTCTTTTCTTCTCATGTTTTGTGCTTTTTAATTCTTTACTCACACGTTCAGTGCACCAGGTAAAGTACTTTGGGATTTTATTTAACTTTCCATGTGCATCCCCTTTTTTTCCCTACATTTTTTGGGTTTGTATGTAAGTAAGTAAATAAGTAAGTAAGTGCGTAAATAAATAAATAAATAAATACATAAATAAATAAATAAATAGGTTGCTTGACTGCTCTTTATTTATTTAGTTTCCAGTCGAAACAGCTATTAAGTACAACTTCATTTATCAGGAAATACTTAAAAAAAGGATTAATAGATACAGAGAAACTGGGACTCCCAACAACCTGGTAGACCAACAAACCTGTCCCTATCAGATAAACAACATTTAAAGCTTTCATCTTTGAGAGAGAGGAGAAAATCAAGCTGCTTCAGATCTGAAAAAAACAACAGTTGTTTCTGTCCATCCTTCCACTGTGAGAAGATAACTCAACACTATGAATCTGAAAGGATGAGAAAATCTGCAAATCAAACCAAGAAGCTACTGGTGTTCTTTGACCACCCCACAGAGTCCAGACCTCAACACCACTGAATGTGTTTGGGATTATTTAGATTATGAGACGCAGAAAATGAATCCCTGAAAAATGAATCCCTGAAAAATGATGCCTGGTCTGACTGGTCATAAAAACACGGTAAAAGTGCTACCTTATATATTTTCAGCCACAGAAGACAATGTGAGAAAAACAGAGGTACCTTTACTGCAGGTCATGGGAACATCTAGAAGAGAAGAAAATTTAGTCAGCAACAGGGGAGCCAGACAAAAGCTGTTAATTACAGTCATTTCATTTCTTAGAAATACTGTCTTTTACAGTTATTCAGAAGTTTCACTAGTTCAACCAGTTATTATGACATACAGTATTATAGCAAAATAATAAGAACAGTAACCATCATAAAAAAACGAGTATAGACAACTAAATCTTACAGTAGTTTCAAGTTCAAGTTCAAGTTTCAACTCTTTTTGTCATTTGCACAACATGTCAGGACATTCATGCATTGAAATGCTTGTGGTATGTTGACAGTTAAATACTTTTTTTACAGTGCACAGAATATTATTTATTTTCATTTCTAATGAAAAAAAGACTTTGGTACTGACCACAAAAGCTGGTACTGTTTCCCGAGCACAGCAGGCAATTTCCTTCCGTTATCACAGAGAAGTAACACAAATCAGTCACAGGTCATGTGGAGCAGAAACCAAAGTCAACTGCCCTGTCCATGCTCTGCCCACAAACATTTTTTTGTAGCAACAGCTGCTAGATTAGACAACACTTTAGCAAACACCCCATTCACCGTAATGAGAAACTGTGGCTCTGACTTCATAACATAAGTAGAGCACATTTATAACTTTAATAGATATTTATTTTGTATTTGTGTGTAAATTCTTTGTCATTTTGAACTTTCAATTAGCTACAACAACATAGCGCAGCTTGTTAGTGTAGCATTTTAAACTAGAAGAACTCAACAGTGGTCATGCTTTTAGCAAATGCTCTTCCTTGTTGCAGTCACAAATGCTTACATACACGTACGGCTTTACCTGCATTAGACGAGGAACAATTTAGACACTCCGATGGCATGCAGGTAGAGTTAGCTCGCACGTGGTCTAAAGAGACGAAAGAAGCTCATAAGCTGTAGATATGAAAATATCACACAGTCTTCACACAGGAAAGCATTATGAGGGTCAGTGGATACTCACAGAGCAGTGTAGAGACAAGGAAGGAAGTTAGGCCTACACCAACCACTGCCATTCTTCTGCAAGAGATAGAAAATAGAGTTATCTACTGGGGCACATTGAGGTTTTATAACAAATTCTGTAACCACAAACATCTACAACATGTACTGGTTTGGTCTGGCATGGTTTACTGAAGTAACTTAGATAAGTAAATTCAAAAATAAGAAAATCCTTGTTTAGAATAGCCACACAGAGTTTGATTTAAACTGTATATTACTTACACCGATCAGGCATAACTTTATGACCACCTCCTTGTTTCTACGCTCATTGTCCATTTTATCAGCTCCACTTACTATATAGGTGCACTTTGTAGTTCCACAATTACAGACTGTAGTCCATCTGTTTCTCTGCATACTTTGTTAGCCCCCTTTTACCCTGTTCTTCAGTGGTCAGGACCCCCATGGACCCTCACAGAGCAGGTACTATTTGGGTGGTGGATCATTCTCAGCACTGCAGTAACACTGATGTGGTGGTGGTGGTGTGTTAGTGTGTGTTGCGCTGGTCTGAGTGGATCAGACACAGCAGTGCCGTTGGAGTTTTTAAACACCTCAGTGTCACTGCTGGACTGAGAATAGTCCACCAACCAAAAATATCCAGTCAACAGCGTCCTGTGACCACTGATGAAGGACTAGAGGACAACCAACACAAACTGTGCAGCAGCAGATGAGCTATCGTCTCTGACTTTACATCTACAAGGTGGACTGACAAGGTAGGAGTGTCTAATAGAGTGGACAGTGAGTGGACACAGTGTTTAAACGTGTGTACAATATAGCAGCAAACAACATATTATTTGCAGACAAATAGGAAAATGTAAATTCTGGTCTGCAATTACAACAGAAAAGTTAGCGTCCTGATATTAACTTAATGAGCATTTCCATTCACTTAAACTCACTCAACAGAGCACAGTAAACAGCAGCACATGCCTGCATGCAGAGTACTGGAGGTTTGATTCGCCGTTAGACATTTAGTATTTAGGGGTTTAGTGAAAGGTGCACTATGATTGGTTTGATTTATTTGTGAAAGTGCATCATATACTGTCACATTTTATGGAAAGTCTAGTTTTTATTTTAAGCCACTTGAAAAAAGTAGTGGAGTAAAAAGTTGGATAGTTTTCTTTGAAATGTACAGAAGTGAAAGCAAAAGTGTAAAAAAGTAAATATTTTATGCAAGTATAGATATTTGAAGCACTTAAGTACAGTAATAAAGCAAATGTACATCATTACTGCTCACCAATGTTAAGCAATAAGAGCATACATACATACACTGTTGTACCAATAAGAAACTCTTAGTATTACATACACATGCCATTGTAAGTGGCTCTGGAAGTCTGCTAGATAATGTAAATGTTGACAGTAATTATACTTTTTTATACAAAATATACCTTTATTATAAGTATCTACAATAATAAATATCTATATGACGACTAGTTAACTTTAATCAGTTATCCATCTTCAACCCATATTATTCTCACTGCACTTTCTGTATGTATTTTAGTGTGAACTTGTTTTACAATGCTAAATGAATGAATGAATGATTGTTGGTATCAGAATCAGCCAGAACAAAGTGATAATTGTTGGCGTAGATATTCCATAACAGTGCATCTGTATTATATGGATGATTCTAACAAATAGTTTCAAGTCAGAGTTCAAAACACTCAGACTTTTAACTGACTTGGACTAAAATCCTTTTGCTTGAATGACCCTATGCCTTAATTATGTTGGTTTTATTAAAACATACATTGCTAAAAAAAAGAAAATGGCATTAGAAGTACTCCTTTAAGAAACTAACATGCAAAAATGAAAACACACTTTATTTTCTTTCTCAAGCAAAATGTTGTATTTTACGCTACATCGTTCTGATTATCGTCTTCATTGTAAGAATAACTGCAGGACGTCATGCACCATTTTGAAAAACAAAACAACAAACACAAAAGGTGCAACAATAGAGAACAAATTAGAAACAATTACACGGACTGAGAACAAGCATGTTGGAAAGCTTAGAACAGCAGAATGATGATCATTTGATTTATATTGATAAATCATGACTGTCATAATAAAACCTTTTATCTCTTTTATAACATTTTGTAACTGATAACTTTATAGCTGAAGGTTAGAACTCCTTTAACTTCCCTGTAAATTAATGTATTTATTCCAAGTAATTTTGGACCATTTCTGTCGTTACATTTATCATGATTTAATCACTCAGATTTAAATAGACACAGTGGCCAGTTTCCCAGACAGTCTTGGACTGAACTGCATTGCTAATGGTGAATCACAATATACACACAGATATATAACAACTGAACAGTACTCCAACAACAGCCTACCACCACTATCATGGGTCAGCGTGAGCTTTTATAATTTATTCTGAGGAGGCAAAATGTATCAGACAAAGCACTAAAAGCTTAATCACATCCACAAAGTCATTCAGAGTGGTTTAGTGTGAAACAGTCTGTTCTAGAGAAACTTACCCAGTCAGAATTGTTCACAGTGGTGATGATAGGACACCCACATCCACTTCTTAAACCCCCCTTACAGAAAATAAGTACATGAAATTATGAATACGCTGCTAGATGACATTGTTTCACAATATTTTCAATAATGTTTTAGTCTAAAACTTTTTTTTAAATAAATGAATGGCGGAGTGGTACAAGCAAGACACAATAGTTTAAAAAGAAAACATGTTTTTTTCAGATATATCGCTATTTTACCATCATCACCAACACACATAGAACCTCACACGTGTATAGGTTCACTGGTGGTTTTAGATAGTGAATAAAATGGCTGTATTTGTGCTGTAGACATGGTTACCCTAGGTTTCTATCAGCACCACGGTAAAGACATCTGAGTCGGTGTGTTTCTCTACAATGAACCATTTCACACCAAACAAATCTGAACGACTTTGTTTACATCTCAACCACAGAACGATGCAGAAAGCTAGAAAAGTCAGGTGGGCCTTTTAGCTTTTTTAATAAACCTAAAAGCTGCATTTTCTCTAAAAGCCTTTCCTCCTTAGGAGTATCAGCCGACTGACCCACAAAAAGGAGACAAACAGCCACATGCAAGAAACAAAAGTGAGAAAAGTGAAAGGTTAGCTATAAACCCACCTTCAGAATCTACGGTCCTATGATGCTGATGCTACAGAAGAAGTGAGGCAGTTTAAACAGATGAAGGCTGTTTGGACCTCAGTCCAGCCAGTTACTGTTAGTGATACATGCACATATGCAAATCAAGACATAACTAGAGGTTTCGGTCATTTTTTGCAATAGCAAACAGCTTAACAACCTGCCTGCTTTGGGACATACAAATGTTCAGCAGATGCATTTAAATTTACCTTATATCACTTTCATGGGCCTTTATTACACACTGACCGCGATATGGTGGCACTCCTATTTATGTAAAACTAACATGGAATGAAAGTGAGGAACTGGGCAAACAAAATAACGCTAGGGGCTGTGGCTTATTATTGTAGCTCTATGCTAATTATTTACCACATACACGTGGCTCTTCATGTGTTCTTTCCAACAGGACATAGGTTCCTCAGGCAACGAACTCCAGTCCTTTCTGTGGAAAAGTGTGGAGCTATTTGAAAGGGCGACACTGTAATTTCCCTACTTGTCCACCAGAGGCCGCTAGAACCTTCAGGAAAACCCATTAGCGGTCCGCTCTCGCTAATTAGCGTTTATCGAACCACCTGCTGCCGAGACAAGTGGCCTGTTCAATCTGGAGACACAGTCAGAGAGAGCTCCTTCATCTTAGTAGCACAAACTGCTTCATTTCAACCGCCCTTTCAGTCTTTCTCCACACAGAGAATGGTGGCGGTCAGAGGTTTAGCTAAGGCCTTGGCTTCTCGCTGGGCCTTGGGAGGATCTTTCCAGAAAAAGGTCAGCACGAGGTTGACCCCTAAAATGCTTCCTACTCAGCGTAAGGTGAGTACAAGTAAGTTATATAGGTTTATTTAATTAGCTTCCAGGCTAATCTCTTTGAAACTTACAAGATGGAGACAAAATGACTGGCCCTCCCCACACAAAACAAAGCAAAGTCAATTTCTTAGGCATTTTGGTGATGGAACGTGCCTTTGCTTGTTTGAAAGGGCAGTTCCACCGCTTTTTCAAAATTTCTGCACAGTCACTGAGATGTAAACAAAGCCATTCAGATGTCAAAAGCTTCATTTTAGAGAAGCTCACAGTTTTCACCCACTGATTTCTGGTGAGAGGAACCAGGGGTTGCTCTGTCTCCAATGTAAGTCTAGCCATTTTGTTCACAATCCAGAACCACCAGTAAACCTGCACCTCTTCTGAGTGTTTATATGTTCTATTGATGACAAAATAGTGGTATATTGGGAAAAATACTTCCTTTGGGTACTATTTTACCTTACAACGCCCTACATATATGTCGCTGACATGAATGGATTTTAAAAAATACAATAATAAGGCTGAAATCTAATCTCAAAACAATTGTAAAGCGATGTTTCAGGCGTCACTCTGTGTATTGCTAACCATTTAATGTAATAACTTTCCTTGAGGGACCTTTTAGAGGTGTTAAACTCTTCAGACGTCTGTCTGGTTCCTATCACCACCACTGTGAACAATTCTGGCTCTAAGTGTCTCTAGAATGGAGCATTTCATATCAAATCACTGAATGACTGTTTACAATGATTGAATTATGCAAAAAAAATGGAAAAATGGTGGAATTGCCCTTTTAAGGCACAAAGGGCCCTTATGGGTGTCCACGCTTTAGTTGTTCACTTATAATAATGTACTATTTTATTCATATTTAATCTTGAAAGTAGTAACGGTAAGTTTAGGGTTAAGAAGCAGTTATACATTTGTTCATATTTATGTTTTTGTCGTATTACAGTTGCCATATGTTTACTGGCAGTAACAACTATGTAAGTGTGTAATGAAATGGATACAGAATAGAAAAATAAAAAACAATGTATTGGAAATGTCTCTTAGAGCTTGTTTACACTTTGCTTTAACACATCCAGTATTTTATGTATGGATCATATCTGTATGTGCTTTGGCAGAATTCCTTTTACGCTGTTCACTAAAATGTCTCCTCAGTGTAAACAGACAAGACTTGACTTCACTTTTTTCTTCTGGTAACCTTCTGTACATATGGTGTCTCACCTGTCACCACCTGTAATCTTTTGGATGCTTTCAGTCTGGCCAGAGAGCATGATGGCACTTGTTTTCAGGCATGTCGTCTTGTGTTTCCCTGTTTATCCTCTCATCTGCGAGTCAGCAGACGCATTTCCACCAACATAACTGAAACAGAAAATACATTTTGTTTATGTTTGTATTGAAAGTCATTAAGATCTTTGTTCTGACATATTATCTCGCCCTTGTGTCCTTAAATAACACATTTACACAGAGCTCCCATCATAAAGCTATAGGAAAGATGTTTGGATAACCTAAATGATCTTATCAGAAAATACTACCATTAGCATTAAAACTATAAGCTATGTTTTAAAACTATAACTATCTTCAAACTTTTGCATATGACTGTATATCCACATGTTCAGCCTACTCAAGTATAGCCCTGCCCACTCCCACTGACATCAGTTTCAGCCTGAACTGGTTTTTGAATGAGGCACAATAGCTAATCAGAACAAATCTCATTTACATGTACCTTAAAGGCACAGTAACTTGTTTTCACTCTGAAAATTAACAGAACATGTAATTTGGCCAGGGGTCCACAAACTTTTGCTTATAACTGTTCCTGTGGTTTAAATGTGGTAGCAATTAAGGCCAAATTAACATTATAAACACAATAAAACATTAGAAAAACTGTTACTATACTAATGATCTGTGCATGTACAGTAGGCCTGCTCGATAAGTAGGAGAAATGGTAAGAACCACGTGTCTGACCGAATGAGATATGAGTGGCTGTGTCCTGGGTGTGTTTATGCTTGGCTTTTCATGAGGTTAAGTGGAAACTGAACATGATCTGATCACTAAGAATGCATGTTGAAACAAGGTATAAACAGCCTCTCATTTGCCTTTTAGGGACACAGCCTTCTAAACTAGACAACTGGGTGCGTCCAGTTTATTTTTGTATTGTCTGTAACTCCGTTGCATGTTTTATAAGATCTTTATTCGGTGCGAGGATATTACCCTATTGCTACTTTACAATCTTTTGTTTTGAAATAAAATTGGGATTTTTCTGAGCCAAACTGTAGTATATTGTCACTGTTGGAACAAAACCTTGCATCTCCAGAAGGGTAACTTTACAGGAGAAAGAAAAAACCTTTATAATTTTGAATGGAAATTAGTGGGACCAGATTTTTACCAGGTAATTTTGAAACATTTATTATTTTTTTTTTTTGTGATCAACTTTTTGTTGCACTTTTCTTCATGTTTTACAGCAAGGGTGGGGAGGGGTAGGCAGAAATAAAGCAAATATATATAAGCAAATATATATATATATATACATGTGTGTGTGTGTGTGTGTGTGTGTGTGTGTGTGTGTGTGTGTGTTGTGTCTTGTATTTTATATATATGTACATATATAAATAATACAAGATACAATATATAAACAACTACACACTAAACAACATCACATAATTTAATTGAAAACTAAAGTTCTTGAATAGAGTCATATAAATTCTCCTAGTTTCCTTTTATTGACTGTTTTGCCTTGTTAAGCTTAGCTGTAAGATTTTCCATCCGAGCTATATTTTAAAAACTAGATATCCAGAATTTTGTATCTGAACAATGTGGGGCAATCCAAAGTTGCAAGACAGTCTTCTTGGTGGCTGTAAAACCTGCCATCAGGAGCTGAGTCTTCATTTAAAAGGCATAAATGTGGTGACAGTGGAATACTGAGATCAAGTACTTTAGATAATGTATCTACTGTAGAGGTCCATATATCTGCTACTTTAGAACATTCGCAGAACACATACATAATTGTACCCAGTGCCGAGTTACAAATATTACAGGTGTAACTAGGAATACGTTTCATTTGATATCTCCTGTAAGGTGTTGCATATGCTCTGTGAATTATTTTGTAATGAATAATTTTGGAACATTTATAAAGCTCTGTTCTCCAGTACAGTTTAACTCCGTGTAAAGGGCAGCTGGCATTTTTAATTTCTGTTTAAAAAACAAACAAAAACAAAAATGGAGATACAAGTTTTGTTCAGACAGCAGTGATATAATAAGAGCTCTGTCTTTTTTAACACATAAAATATTGAATTAAAATTGTATTGATCTTGAAAATATTCATGATTACACCTCTGTAGTTTTGCAGCTCTAGAAGTTGCCAAAAGACAGAGGTGCCACTGCTGAAACAAAACCTTATGTCTCCATTTTTGTCATTTTTTTTTTTTTTTCTAAACAGAAATGAAATATGCCAACTTAACATTGTGGTCAGATGTCGTAATGAACAGACCGATATAAACGATCCTAAATCACTAGCTAGCAATTCATGTTCTCCTGTAAAGTTACATCTTTCGTCGACAGCGACGCCATGTGACCACTGTGTCATTTCCCCCAAACATTTCTTCAAAGCCACTGCTGTTCATGTCAGAACTAGTAGTAAGGTATGTGTGGATGTGTGCACTGTGATTTCTAATTTGAATGGAGGGCTCTGCCCTGGCTTGTGGTTGACAGGGTAGATTCTCTTGATGTAGGCCAGGTGCAGTGTGATTGGAGGGGTGTAGAGGAGGCCCATTGTTCAGCTCATGTAGCGGAGTTGCTCAACAAGGTCAAGAAGAAGAGGTTTTTTTAGTCAGAGTAACCACTTCCCCTTGTGGTGTGTTGCTATGGTAAGACTTCCCTTTGAAACAGGAAATGACACGGAGTGCTAAGTAATGGGGCGTGAAGTAATATTGCCATAGGGTATGCGTGCTTCAGGCGTGACATCCTCACTCTCGGCTGGATCGAAGTCACACCGATGTAGCCATGTCGAGCAAAATGAAAACTCTGGCAGTGCCGGCCTGTCAGCTGGTGAGTCTGAACTTTTCTTTTGAGCTCTGTTGAGGTTTTTTGTAAGGTGGCTGTCTGTAAGGTTTACTGGATGGTGGCTTTAATCAGCTGCAGTTAGTGAAGGTCTGAACAGGTTTGGTTTAGAGTGATGACAGTCTAACTGTCGGTTTAAGGTTTGGTTTGTTGGTGTGAAAAGGCTGTGTGGTAACAGCTCCATTCACGATGGACCACTGCCTAGGTTGAATCACCTCAAGCATAGGTGGTAATAGCTGCCCGTTAGCTGATTAAAAAAGCCCTCATGAGGTGAATTGGGTGGCTGGAGAGGGTAAACCATGGTCCAGTGTTGTGGTCTGGATGAGGAGGTTGACACCTGGCTTTGGCTTTCTTTGGTCATGTTTTATGTATGTCGAATAGTGTTATGTTGAAGAATTTTGCCTGTAAGGACTGCATGATTAAAAAAAAGAAAATATAATTGTTAACTAGCGCGTAATGTTGATTTGACATTACTCAGCTACATCCCACTGCGTGCCAACACTATTGCTTTCACTCTGCTTGCACGAGTGATTAGTCAAAATATTCAGTCACAGCAGACATAAAAACACCTGGGATTTGTTAGAACACTCATCTAATGAAGAGTGGTTTGTGACAGAGCTCATACTACTCAACTAAATGCAGAAATTAGATCTCTTTACAATGAACTGCAGAAGCCAAATCATGATTTCAGTGAACAGCAGGGTTGCACAGTATTGTTTGTTTATTATTATTATGATTATTGTGATGCTCGCCTTAGTGATAGTGATAGTGATATCTCAGAAAACATCAGTGCACAAATGAGCCCACTAAAGCAATCGCAACAGTCTGACTGTGTGCTGTGAGCATCCTGACCAACCACAGTTCCGGATGCATGGTTCTGTGTATGTTTTGAGGATTGTTGTGGTCAAAATAATCCAAGCCAAGTTTTAACAGTTACATTATTTATTCAACAGTGCATTTGTAAAATTGCAAGGTGTACTGGAATAATGAAATATGTGTTCTATAGATTATAACTCTACATACCACTACTAGTGCTTTGCAATATACTAGAGTGCATCAGAAAATAAGTCAAGCTAATTATCTGGGTAGTAAGCATTCATTTGTTTAAAAAACACAACAAAAAATTTGTAGAATCCGTCCTCAGGATGCACTAATAAGCGAATTGCGAAATAATGCAGATATCAAGTTTTTATGTACACGTCTGCCGATGCTTATACATAACCATTTATAAAAATTATAGATTGGGAATGGATCATCCTGGATTAGCATTAAAAAAACATTTATTCACCGGAATATCGATCTGGGAATAAAAGTCAAGATGGAACAGTGTTCCAGCTCAGATCTCGAAAACATAGGAAACTTTTTATAGGGAAACTGCGGATAGTTGTTTTACTCTGTTCTAAAGTGTGTGCATGAGGTGAAGTGTCACTGAAAGCACCTCAAGTTCAGCCCTGTTCAGCCAATTGAAAGTTACGGTGCTGTAGCAGGATCTGCCCACCCGGTTTCCATGGTAACCTCTGTGAGTATGCTGTGTGTTTGGAACGTAAAGGCAGCCAAGAACCTCCACAATAAGGCGTTCAAGTGGATGTCCAATCTACTTAATGTAACTAATATTATTTGATGATTTGTGTGTTTATTGCTGAAAGTTTGTCAGTGGGCTCAGTTTATAATGTCCACTATAATTTAGCATGTTAGTTAATGAAACTCAAGGTAGCGTAATGACTGATATCCAGCTAGCTGGCCTGCAGATATCATTCATTCAGTGTGAGCTAGATATCTAAATATGAACACATCTACTGAACGTTTTGGACAGTTTAGAGCAGTGTTTCTCAACCGTGTTCCTGGAGGCCCACTGCCCTGCACTTTTTACTGTTTTCCCTGCTCCCATCACACCTGATCCAACGGATCAGCTCATTAACAGCCCATTATTGGGTTAAAGTGGCTGTGTTAGAGCAGGAAAAGCACTAAACACTGGTCTAGATCACATGATGAAAGTGGTAGTAATAATAATTATTTGGATTCTTGTTTATGTTGCTAGATAACAGGAAACTCAGCAGTTGTGCCATTAAGTTTTAGTAGATGTTTTTCCTGTGACGGTGTTAATTTACTTTTTAGAAAACATATGTACCTCTTAGCTTATAAACAAATTCAGTGATATTGTTAAACCTTCAGCCAGATGATTTTGTTCTGTTTTGCAAGTGGTCTCATCTGTACTGAAGAAAGATAATGTTAAACAGGCTTGATACTGTTTTGTATGGGACAGTCCACAGTGTTTAATTAGTTAATGATAATAAGGTCTTCAATGAAAATGCCTAGGCTAGATAGACCTAGATTTATTTGCAGTAATCAGTCAGAAGTACTGTTTACGACATGCAGAATTTGAGTGTTTTTATACCGTTAAGTCCAAAGACTTCTGATTTAAGGTTAAGCTTATATAGAAAAGGAGTCAAGCTTTCAGCTCTTGAAATGTCCTATTGTTTTTAACACAGGAAATGCACCAGATTTAAGCATTTATTGGTTGATTTATATAAAAATCTGTGAAGCACTTAGTGTTTTACCATGTGGAAATGTACAGAAACAGATATTTTAGGATAACCTAGATAGTTCTAGATAACCTTTTTAGTAAAACCTGGCTGTTTCCACCCCCGGTGACAAATATAGTAGTACAGTGTAGGCCTTTTAAAGAAGTGGCCCAGTGTCACCTAAATATTCTGCTCTTCTGGAGTACAATAAACAAATCATTACACTACATTCACAGCATTTGGCAGACGCTCTTATCCAGAGTGACTTACAATTTGATCATTTTACACAGGTAGGTGAAGGTAGTGTTAGGAGTCTTGCCCAAGAACTCCTATTGGTATAGTGTAGAGTGCTTACCCAGGCGGGGATTGAACCCCAGTCTACAGCATAGAAGGCAGAGGTGTTACACACTTCACTATACCAACCAACCAAATCATCAAATAACATCTGTTCGAAGCCCTCCCCTTTTTTAAAGCAATTTTATACCCATAACAATGTGATTGTGATCAATGTACGTCTGTAATAAATTCAAACATACAATACGTTGTGATGTGAGGTGTGGTAGCTAATCTAGTCAGTCCTTCATTAAATAAAATCAGCTGATGGAATTGAACAAATATCCATATCATTTCTGTTTATTCTACTGTAAAAAACCACGCTTACTACAATCTTCATAGCTGCTTCAGAGCTTTGCACAGAGCTGTGTGTAGTAGTGTTATCTAGTATATCGATCATATTGCTATGTTTATGCTAGTATTTCGTCCATATCGCGCATCTGTAGTTATCAGTTAATTGTGCACTGAAACTGCTTGTTCATATGGAAGGTCTTTTGCAGATAGACTCTCCTCATAAAGCCACAGCTGGTGCAGTGAGGCTTGTGATGATTGATAAGATACCTGTGGCCTGCTTGCTGATTTTTAGCCTCTGTGCCCCAGTTGTAATGCTCACAGAGTGTGAGAAGAGATGTGGGTTGTCTCTAGGGCCGCTGATACATCATGCTTCAGAAACCTTGCGTGCGTGTCGGGTGGAGTCTGATGGAGGTAGGCATGAACAGAGTGAACAGTAAACTTCTCTCTTTGTTGCTATGGTTATTAGAAATCTGAGCATCCCTGTTCCGTAGTTGTCTGGACAGGTACAGGAAAAGTTCCAGGAAACTCTGCAGAGATGAATGGTTGTAGGATAATCTGGATTGGCCAGTAACTTTTGTGCCTCAGAGTATTGCCCAAATAGGGATGTTACGGTGCACAGAAGTCACGGTTCGGATCACATCACGGTTCGGTACGAGTTTAGTACAACAGGGTAAAACACAACAGAAACCCCCAAATGCATAAGGCTAGGATTTCATTTATTTTGAACAGACAGTAGTGCAGGTTGCAGTTTGTTCCACCTAGAGTCTTGTAGTCGTCCTGAGGCAGCTGGTACTGCCTGTAGTGTGTTAAGCAGTAAAACATGCAATGTAAACTGTGAACATACACCCCCTGCATAGGTCATATTTTTAAGAAGGGCTAATAAAAAAGACAATGTTATAAAAGTACATAAGCAATAGAATAATAAAAAAATAAAACTTGTGCATTAGGAGGAGTGTTTTAATTGGTTCTACTTAGGCTATATTTAAATATTCAAAACTTAAACCCAACCCTTACAAAGAAAAGACAGAGGAAAACACTAGCAGGGAAGGACAGCAGATACAGCCAGGTAGCGTTTTGCCAATTGACAACTGTGGTAACATCGTTCGGGCAGCTGATTTGAAGGAAGCAGGCAAGTTTGCTCTCGCCACAGTGTGACTGATTCAGACACCAATCAGCATGAGCTAAGCTTAGCATGGCATGTTGCTAACTTGCTTTCAGACAGCTTAAAGTTTCCAGGTGGAATTTGCGGCTGTAAAGTTTACTTTCATCGATCTGTAATGTCACGGCTCGGTGTGTACCATTTCACCCCAAGGCCCAGTTGATTTTCGTCAACAGTAGTGATCTCAACTGGGCGTCTGAGATGGGGAGTGAGGTTTTATATACTGATGAGTCTAAATTTGTAGTTGGAATTACTTGGATTATGAGAAGCAGAAAATGCAGTCAACTTGTAAGACTGAACTTTGTAGGTGTCCCTGGACACACAAATTAATGAAGGATGTGATATATGTTATGATATATTATGACACATACCTTTTTCCTCTGATGGCTGTTATGACTCAAAATTAATCAAACAAAAGTCTAAGACATTTGCACAGTACTGTTGACTCACTAAGTAGTTTTAAATAAACCAAGCTTAACTGACTGATATGGTTGTCAGTGGTCATTTGTGAAATTACTTTGACCAGCTCAGCTAGCATTGCTGTAATAAAGATGATCAACTGCAAGTTGACTCTCCATAAAAACTGGCATAGCACAAAGTTGTTAAAAGACTCAGTCATTGATAACCTAATCACATTGCAGGTGCCTTTATGACAACATAAGCCAGTTGTAAGTATTGACGCTGTATTGTACGTTTTTTTTTAGTTAGTTGATCCATCGCTACGTCTGTTGTAAACATGTATACTCGCCTCATACAGTGGTGCTGTAATAATCTCTAGAGTGAGACTTTCCGGTTTAAAAACTACAAAACCCCCTTCTGATGATATCTTGAGGGTAAAAGGAAGTTTTGAAAAAATACAGGCACTTTGGGGTGAATATTTGAGGGTAGGTGGTTTAAAATGTGTGTTTTTATTATCAGATAGCTAATGTTACACGTCTGTGTTCAACAGCTTTTACGTATTACCTTCTACATCAGTCAGGATTTTTGTCACTGTGGACAGTATTTCCGTTGTTTATGTGTGACATATTTGTGTTATACATGATGGGTATTGTAGGAAGAGAACATTGATGAACAAAACCCAAAAAGATTGTGATTCTGTAAAACTGATCAGGCTATAATTCAGTAATACAGTGCTGAGCTATAGAACATTACATAACATGATAAACAACATTCAATGAATGGCTCAAGGAAAATTCCAGTTTCCCCCCTTGATGAAGTTCGTCACCTAAGATGTGTTTGGAAAGAAAAATTTTGCTTTTTCTTTTTTTTAGTGGTTGAGCTCTGGGACTAAGATTGCTAATGAACACTAAAAGTCAGTAGTCACCTAAATCTTTTCTGTAAATACTTCTCCACAACTTCTCTCAAGCTGCTGAAACTGCATCCAGGTCTTCATTAAGGTCATGCTGACTTATTGCTGTGGTTTTGGACACAGAAACGAACAATATGGGCAGCCACTTTAGGCAGGTGGTATGAGGAAATGTGCCTGCTTGTCACATGCAGCACATCACACAGTCATATGGACGCTACAGATTATGTTGCTCTTTCTGTTGTTTAATTTTATAAATAACTGTTAATCTTCAGTTAGACTGAAGATATGTTTATAAATAGAAACAGTAGAAATTGTACAAGTAATCTAACAGCCATGTTCCTGTGTAATGTGTATGCGAGTAAAGGTGAATCGGATTCTGTGGAGAAATCGGAATTCTACGCAACACATGTTGTCTACAATGTATAAGTGCAGCATCCAGCTACTCAGTGAAGTTTTGTTTTTATTGTTTACATTAAATAATACTATGCTTGTAAAACACGTCAGCACGTCCGTGTGAGCTTCATGGTTAGCTGGATGCGGTTTGACAAGCTTTGGAATAGGTTTATAGAAAAGATCGGGGTGACTACTGGCTTCTAGTGTTTACAGTGTTAGCCTTGTAGCTCCAACACTAAACTAAAAAGCAAAATTTGGGCACAAAACATGTCTTGGTTGATCGACTACATCCGGGTTAAGGTTAAATTAGGTTTCTCGCCGAGCCGTTCTTCGAAATGCTAGTTTTAGGATCGAACGCCCACCAGTGTTTTTGGATGAATGACTGCTGGAGAGCTGAGAGTGTGACAGATTTTATGTGACTGAAGGAAGGTGTGTGCAAGACCCGTGATGAGAGTAGTGTCAGATATGGCAAAGTCATGAGAGTGAGAAGATGAAACACCCGTTTCCTGTGTGACAGCTGCCACTCTCCAGTGAGCAAAGTGCAAAAACAGCATTCAAGAACAGACCGTGCAAAAACAACGTTCAAAAACAAACTGTTCAGCTGTTGTCGTCTTACCTCCCCGCCCCCAGAACGACTCCATAGACACACTCTGTCTTATAGGCCTTTTAGGTTTTTTCACTGTTTGACTTTTTTTTGTCTGTTTGTTGGCTCTTCTTGCAGACGCAGGCGGTTTCTGATGGGGGTAAGTGTGATTTCTGTTGTTGATCTCTCTCTTTTCCCTGGTGATTGACATGTTTAATCTTTGAGTTCTGGAATCTGGCAGTGAAAAGTGAAAAGGTTCATGACACTTTCCTTTCAGCCTGAATGGAGAAAATGAGCAGGGTTTGTTTACATTTCACTCTGCTGCATTTGTACCATAACAGAGAGAATGATGGATGGCTGGAATGATGGATGTAAAATCAGTTGAAAAAAAGTCCACCGAGTATTTTGCTCGTAAAAGTTTAGTCTTGGTGGACTGCATCAAGTCCTTTAGCAGCAGACAGATAGTATAGAGGATGCTAAATGGAGGGAGAAAGTTCACTGTGATTAATGGATAGACTGCAAACTCTGGGAATTCTCTACCACAGTCTCTGTGTGATTGCATTTCTGTTCTTTTTAAAGTCATCTTAAAGCTGCACTATGTTTTCTTTTTTTGCTAATACATGCTAAAATGTGATGTGTGCATGTGCAAGTCACCCTGTAAAGCCTGAAATAATCGTTTTAAAGTCAAAAGTGGAGTATCAGATTTCGCGGTAGTTTTCCAGACCATGTTATACATCTTAACATATTGACGTTTTGAAACACACACAGGCTCAAAAAGAGGTTCCAGTTCGATGTTTAGGTCTCAAGTGCAAAATCAACATTATGCTGATGAAGACATGACGTCGGTGCTAAATAATTCACTTACATCCTCAGAAGACACATTCTTCACCAAGTTTTGACTGAATTCTCTTTGAATGCTCTTTTAACACGCATGAGGTTCTGCTTGGAAGCATTCTGAAAAACAACCCACGCTACAAAGTGTTCCTCTGCAGGGTGCTTACACACACATGTTTTCACCAGAGTGGTCTCCAAATCACGAAATCATACATAGTGCAGCTTTAAAGGGATACTCCAGCTTTTTCAACCTAATCTCCATCTGCCACATCTGTAGCATATGGCCAGTTACCATTGACAGTCCTTTCAGTGTGTTTCTGATACGTCTGCCACTTAACTTGTATTACTTGTATTATAACTTGTATTAAGTCTGGTTCAAGGGAACAGGTTATTTTCTAAGTGTAAGAAATCGCATCAGCATTGTCTGTGCCAACCAACTGTGTGCTGTGTGACAGATTTAGTTGATGGAGAAAAAAATGCTGGAACATTCCATTGATTTTTCTATATTCCTGCATAATTAATTTAGTGTTTTGATATGAGTTTAATTGTAATTGTTTGATAAGTTTAATTGTAGAAAATTTTCATTTACAGTGGTGGCGACACAAGTGTAGCCATTTTATTTACTATCCAAATCCACCAGTGAACCTACACTTCAGAGGTTTTATACGTGAAGTTTGATGGTAAAATAGTGGTAAATAAAAAAAAATCCTTTTTTTTATTTTAAAAATACATTTAAGGCCAAAATCGAATTTCAACACACACACTTTGTAAAACAATGTTTCAGGCATCAGCCAGCCTGTTCAAAACTATGTCATGTAATATTTCATGTAACATTTGTGAGCGAGCTCTTAGAGGCATTAAGCTTATCAGATATTTGGTTTCTGTCACCACCACTGTTGATTCTGACTCAGCAAGTTTTTCTAGAATGCAGCATTTCACATCAGATCACTGTAAATAACTGTTTACATCTTAACTATTTAATTATGTAGGAAGTCTTTGGTGGAATTCCCCTTTAAGACCGTCCTCTTTACTTTGTTCTGTTCTTCTTTCTCCGTCTTAGTTCTCTTTCCTTGATATGAACAAGTCGTGGGTTTGTGAAACTGTGATTTAGTAGTATTAGTATTACTGTTGTTGTTTGTTGTTTTTTTCACTTCCCTCCTCTCTCTCTCTCTCTCTCTCTCTCTCTGTTAAGAGCTGAACATGTCCAGGTTATCAGGCACAGGTAGCAGCCCCAGTCTGAATGGCGGCACCTCTGGAAATGCAGGTCCTCCTGGAGCGGACGGTCCAGCCAGCAGAGTGGTCAGCTGGGCGGTGTGCTTCGAGCGGCTGCTGGAGGACCCAGTTGGAGTCCGCTACTTTACAGTAAGAACCTCCAACTGACCTCTGAACTTTGAAAACTTTGCAACTCAGGTTGAAGCAAAAATGTGGACTGTTTGGGGTCCCCAAGTACCAGTCTGAGAACCACTGAGCTAAGAGACGCTTAATGTGCCTTTTCCCTTAAAGTGATATTTCGACCTGAAATCAGATCTACAGAGTTTCACCCTGGGCCTAAATATGCCCAATCAGCCAAGACCTGATTGGTGTCTGGAGTTTGCTTCTTTAGTTTTGCACTGGAGCTAATGTAGCTAACAAGTAAAGGCAGCCTATATTAAAACTGCACCAAAGTATAGAACTTTTAGTTATGCAACATACATTTGTACATTGTTGTAGATAGCAGTATGACACACAGTGTCAGAAATCACATAAGCAAGTTTATTTAAGAATACTTAAGATTACTTAAAGATTTCAGCATAATTAACGAAACCACTGAGATGTAAACTGAGTGGTTTGATGTGAAATGGTTCATGCAAATATAGACATTTTATTTACTATCCAAAATGACCAGTGAACCTACACACATCTGAGTTTTTATATGTAGTTTGACAGTAAAATAGTGGAAGATTTGAAAACGCATGTCCTTTGGGAGCAGTTTTGCCTTACAGTGCCTTGGATGTACCTCCATGCATAAGCCAAAAGCTTATCTCAAAACTATCATAAAACAATGTTTCAGGCATCAGGCAGCACATTCATAAGCATTGCATGTAATAACTTTCTGTGATGTAGCTTTTAGAAGCATTGCACTTTTCAGACATCTGGTTCCCATCACCACCACTGTGAAAAATCCTGACTCAATATGAACTGGGCATTTCACATCAAACCACTATGAATGACTGTGTTTACATCTTAACTAATTAATTATGTAGAAATGTGGAGAAAACAGTGGAATTCCCTTTTAACTACTTGATTTGAAGTTTCAGGCAAGTGTGTGATGATTTACGTGTACAGTTTGCGCAGTGCTAATTAGTAGGTATAAGCTTCCATTACTTGCTGACTCGTTAGTTATTAGCCTTGTAGCTCCAGTACAAAACTAAACATGCAGACTTCAGGCACCAAATGTTTTGGCTGATTGACTACATTTGAGAAATGAATGAATGAATGAATGAATGAATGAATTTTGAATTTTGACCGAACCATCACTTTGAGTGATGGCTTCAGTGAAGTCAGTAAGATACTGTATCCCAGAATCCTTTGTAAATATGTACTGTCTGTCTCTCAAATGGCAGATTTCTGTGTGTTTTTGTACGGTTCATACATCATGTGCGTCAAACAGCAGACACTAGCTGCTCAGAGATGGGTTTGTGCTTGTTCATGTTGTCAGTCCATAAATGACTAAATGAATTACTCATCTGCCAGATCATGCTTCAACAGAAGCTTGACGTTTGTGAGTTGTACCCTCCACATGACCACATGTTGTGTTATTGTTTTCTATCCTGTGTCGACCAGAGGAGGATGGGTTCCCCTTTTGAGTCTTGGTTCCTCTCAAGGTTTCTTCCTCTTGCTCTGAGGGAGTTTACCTTGCTACTGTTGCCATTTGCCTGTTCATGGGGGCTTGGACCTGGATTTTTCTGTAAAGCTGCTTTGTGACAGCGCCTGTTGTAAAAAGCGCTATATAAATAAACTTTGACTTGACTTGACATGCTGTTTGGATCCAGTTCAGTTTCACTGTGTGAACATGTGGGGAGCAAACTGATTGGCTCTTGCTGATATGCCTATAAAGAAATCCTGCCTGACAGTGCTGTGCCCTCTGTGTATTTTAAGCAGTGGTGATTTTGTTAGAAAGAGAGAAACGTGTATTCGTGCCTCTTTGAATAGGAAGACAGATGGCAGTTTGGTAGGAGTTGGTCTTGTCTGCAGTGTATCTGTGGTTTGACTCATGAAATGTTGCACAACCCAGGCTTTTTTCATAAAGTGTAGATCAGCATTTTGCATGACTCATAGAAGTGTAATTGTTCGTATATTATTTTAGCCATTTTAAAAAGGTTGACAGTGTGGAAGTAGCTTTTTAACAACAAAAATACAAATTATTTGTTGTAAACAGTGTTTTTTGATGTTCTGTAGTTGTAAATAGCTGATTTTGCTGCTTCATTTTTTCATAAATATTTCATGTTTGGCTCAGTTTGTGTAAAATCTCTTTGTGTGTGATGATCCTCAGGCTTTTCTCAAATCAGAAGTGAGTGCTGAGAACATACTCTTTTGGCAGGCCTGTGAGAAGTTCCGGAAGATTCCACCTACTAATCTGGATGAGGTAAGAGAGATTTGTACTTTTGAATGCTGGATCCTTTCCCACTCAGACTAAGTCAAGTCCTGACCTAAATGACGTTGTTAATGGTTACCTGGGACATTCCGTGGTGAAAAAGTTTTCTATTGATTTCTAAAAAATCCATCACGCCCGGTGCCTTTAACTGCTCTAATGGCTGCTTTTTGCTGGTCTTGTGACCCAGCAGACTGGCTTTCATGAACCACAGGAGTCAATAGGCCAGTTTCCCAGACTTAGTCTTGCGCTGTGTTGTCAATAATGGTTTCCTGTTGAAACACTTGTATAGGGCAGTGTTTCCTACTACTGCGTCCAGTCTCACTAGAGTCCAAAAGAAATGACTTGATGTGTTAAACAGGAAGCCCACTGATTTTTCATTGTCAATATATAAATGAACCGGTTAATTATAGAGAAAACGGTGGTGATAGGAACCGGATGTACAGAGTTTAATGCCTCTAAAAGCTCCCTCATAGAAAATTATTACATGAAATGGCTATGAATATGCTGAATGATCGTTGTGAGAAGGTTTTGTCCTTAAATGTGTATGTGTGTGTATGTGTGCGTGATGTTTTATCAACAACATATAAAAGTAGACGAGTAGGTTTTTGCCAATTTTGTATAGCAAAAAAAGATATTTTCATTATAGACAGGTTCCTCTAACAACCACTGTAAAGAAATCTGAGTTGGTCCATTTCTCTACAATGCAACATTTTACATCAAAGCACTCTCAATGAGTTTGTTTACATCTGAAAGACTAAACTGAAACCTGAAAGACTAAAACTTTTAAAATTCGGAGGAATTCCCCTTTTAAAACAGTTGGTCGGTAATTTAGCATGGAACCAATCAAATATGACCACTGGGCAGTGCAATCATCATAACTATGCCTGCAACAATTATGTAATAATTGGCTGATTATCTGAGCAGATTACTATTTTCCAGAGTTGTTACCTTTCACATTTTTCTGCTGTCAGAACAAAATCTCCATTTTTGTCGTCTTTCAGTTTTTGACATAATTTGAAAATGCCTGTTGCTCTTTACATTGTGTATACATTTCATGATGAAAGGACCAAAGGAAATGCCCCATAATTAATAAAAAAAAAGTCTGGTTCCATTGACTTACATTTTTCTTTCTGGTGTAAAGTTACCATTTTGGATAAACAAGGTTTTGTTCCAACAGCAGCGATATGTTTCCTGTGCAACAAACAGAATGTGAATTGGGTTCCTTATCATTCATTTGGTTGAAATAAGTACATTTAAATATAAGAAAGAAGAAAAAAAGGGATTTGAGTTTGATTGGTCTTGATAGATCATTGACTGGTGCTATAACACCTTTCAGGGGCAGCGGTGAGTAGTGCGTGTTTATGTGAGCTTGAGTAGTCTACATTGTCAGTTCTGAGGTACTAAATATCAATAGCTACACTCTTAAAGATGTTTTTTCAAGGTTTCTTTAGTAAAGAAAATGGTTCAGTATAGAACCATGAACACTCAAAGAACCCTTTGCATGATTAAAGGGTTTTTTTGCATCGTGAAACGGTTCTTTAGATTGATGGAGAATGTGCTGTAGGTGGATCTATACAGAACACCAAAAAGGGTTCCTCTATTGTTACAAGCCAAAGATCCTGTATTTGGTACTTTATAGAAACCCTTTTTACTATCTAGTGTAGATAGATAGATTTGCCAGTTTGGCCACTTTAAGCTCGTACTTTAATAGTTGCTTACAATAAACAAGAAAAGATGTTGTTGCAATTATTTATATGGAGATTTAATCATCTGTTAAAAGATGAGGTCTTATCATAACTTTAGCTCTTAGATTAATTAAGTTTAATTTACTCAGTGCAGAACACAGACACAGAGGGAAAAAAGCCAAGTGAAGAAAAAAAAAAAGCTTTAAAGAAGAACTAGAGGTATAGCAGTAATGTATTTAGAAACACCAAGGGCTCCGCAGTGTGCGACTGTGAAATTCTGACCAAGGTAGAAAGCCTCACGTTTGGCTCAGTCAGACACCAGTGTTGGCTCTTTCTGTGAAAAACATGATCACAATGAATGTGAATACTGTAACTCTCTGGGGAAACAGCAACACTTCACTAAAAAAAGGGAGCATCACCCTTACGAACAAAACCAGCTAAATGAAATGTTGCTAACTATCTTTGCTCTTTTTAAAGTTAACCCTGACTAGTAAGACTTGTGGACCTCAATGTGGGTTAAATATCCTAAAATATTAAAATATGTTCATGTATTATCGGTGTAGCGTGGTAAATGTTTGTAAATGTTTTATTATGTTTTAATGTTAATTCAGTACAGACTCAGCTTAGTATTCCTACATACCCTCTACAAAGGTGATTTAGGCTATCAAAATATCCTAATTACTATTTTAATGTGGGTGAAAAGGCCTTAAAAATGTCCTACCTGTAGTTTTGATGCTGGTAGCATTCTCTGATAGTGATTTAGCCTATCAAAATATCCTACCTGCAGTATTATTTTGCGGAGATACCAGTGTGTGTGTGTATATATATATATATATATATATATATATAATGTCCTATAGAACATTTCGACAAGGTAGCACAATTTGTCAGAACATTGGTATGAAGGCTGTGAGGAACGTATAACACAAGCAGTGCAGCACGATTAATGCTTCAGGTTTAAAATAAGTTTCTCCGTCTCACATCCAGTAAAAGCAGCCGACGTAAAACAGAGAAACACAGATGTGTGAGTGTTAGTTTCAGCAAAAAAAAAAAATGATAGTGGAACTATTTACAGTCTGTACTCCTTGCTCTGTTACCATAGGTGACCAGTTGCTGTACAGAGACCATTCATTCTGCCCCACTCTAGGCATTATTTTTATTTATTTGGTTGAATCTGTATGACAGTAGCCAACATTGCTGCCTCAGTGTTTTCTTCTTGTGTTATATCCTGCGCCAGTTCAAGCTAACCAGCATTCTTTCGATGGTCAGAAGTGAAGGACAATTCCAGTGCAAACATTTGACATTACTACTCAAAGTGGAACAAAACTGGGGACCTACAAGTTACAGGACTTTTAACATTAACAGTTTATACAATCATTTTATGGAAATTGCACTGCAAAATCAGCTTATTTTGATATCACTGTTTATGATGTTATATATATATATATATATGTATATATATATATATATATATATAGTATATATATATATATTATATATATATATATATATATACAGGTGTGTATATATATGTGCATCTATACAGCCTAAAGCAGTTTAGCCCCACTCAACACTGAAGTAATAAGGAGTGTTTTAGCCTGGACTACTTTTTGAATAAGGCACAGTCAGAGCAGAGGTTATTTACATATATCTGTCGTAAAGGCACAGTAACAGATACAGTCTGTTTGAATACAAGGCATAGAGAGTTTGGAAAATGGTTATTTAAAAAAAGAAGTATGAAAAATGTAGGAGACAGGCCCTTTTAAAGTATAGAATAGAAGTCCAAGGTTATCTCCCCAATGTTAGCTACATGAAGACATGCATATGCTTCCTCTATGACTTATCTTTTTGATCTGCTGCTTGTGCATCATGGCAGGACATTGAACACTTTGAGGAGGTTGCTGACTACCCATATCTGTATGTGAGAACTGACACGTATATGAAATAGGCCAACACCGCTGTAGATGTACAGGAGAGGAACTAAGCCTTCGTTCCCACCCAGAGAGCAGCAGGGCTGACTGTGGTCTCTTGGACTTCCGGCCACAGATGGTAGTGGCGTTGTTGGCACTGCTCCCTTCCCTCCGCAGAAAAAAAAAAGATCTATAATGAAATTCTTAAACCCTGGATCTTGAAGGACCAGGTTCAGGTTCTGGATTTTGTAATCACTAGGTAGCACCCTTGGTGACCAGTTACTTGAACAGTTCAAAGGAAGTGTAAAAGTGATTTACAGTTCCTTTAATCTGATAAGATCTATAGTCTTTCATTTTTTTTTTACCATTGTATAATATCCCTGCATTCCAGTCTTAGGATACTTCTTTTGTAGGATCCTGTAATATGTTATTTACTATCTATACACCGTTGCATGCAAACATTTGAACACACCGGTCGAATGATGTCTTGCTGATTTTGCGTGTGAAAATAAGATTAATGCATTGTCTACAGAGAATGAACAAAAATATGGTATGTTTTGTGCCAAATTTGGTGCACAATTTCTGTTTACCTAATGAGCTTAACATATTGGACAAAAAATGTAAAATGTGCCCTAACTCTTGCACAGGCCACAATTTGCTATAATGTTTTAAATTCAGCAAATAAACAGTAGTTGCGCAGAAGTGTGTTCTCTGCATTTTCACTTAGAAAACCAACAAAACACGTCATTTCACCAGGAGTGGTTAACTTTTGCATACAACTATAAATACAGTTAACACCTCTGCCCTCTATGTGACAGACTGGGCTTCAATTCTGTGCCCAGGCAAGCACACCAAGCTATACTGATGAGTCCTTGGGCAAGACTACTTATGCTACATTCGCCTCCCTCTGTATATGCCACAAACCGTAAATGTTAGAGGAATCCTGTAGAAATTCCTGTTGTCATTTTGATAAAGGTTGGGTTCCATCCTTGTTGAGTTATTTTGACAATTACTTGATTCTGCATCAGAATTGAGTCTGTAATTTGTTCGGAGAACATACTAAAAATGTGAGTAAGAAGAGCTGGTACTACATCAGTTTGGAACAAGAAAACAGATTTTAGATCTGCAGTTGGGCAGTTTGTGCAGACATTGAGGGCTGCTCTGAGTCTGGCTTGATGTTTTTAGAAACGCTCTCACCTTGGCTGTCATTCTGATTAACTGGGGGGAAATGTGTGCTACAGTTTCCTCACAGCAAGAGCTCTTTTTTTATTTATTTAATTTTTTTAACCTTCAGTTTAACCAGGCAAATCACTGAGAACATATTCTTATTTACAGTGGTGGCCTGGCAAGTAGCAAAAGCCAGTTGAGAAAAGGGAAGTAGAAAAGAAGGACAGACAAACCCAGTGAGACAATACTTTTTAAAAAAAAATGAAATAAATGACTCCAGTTTCAGTGTTTTTGTAGTGTTCCAATCATATGCAGCAGCAGACTGAACTGACGAGGAGCCCTAAGAAGTGTGTTTTAGGGACTTTCTATTGAATGTGAAAGGATGACCTGTTATACTTAGGAGACACTAATAGTATCAGGGTTTGTAAGTCTGGCCTAGAAGAGTCTTATAAATTAATATAAACCATTGTATATTTTGCAGAGTGTATAAGAAATAACAATTAAGCAGAAAGTAAAGAGAGCAATAATGTGTAGGCATTTTCAACAAAACGGATGGCAGAATGATAAACATCAAGCTTCTGAAGTGCATGTCTGCATGCCAGTCTGTGAGCTGCATCACCGTAATCTTTCAGAGGAAAAATAGTCATCTGAACCAGAGTGATTTTGGCAGCACGGCTGAAAGAAGAACGATTTCTAAATAAAAAAAAACAAAAACTTGGCCCTGGCATTTGACTGTAGGTTGACAATGGTTAGAGAGGGATAATCAACTGTCTAACCAAATGCTTTGACATGTATGTGTTGTAATCTTTTTGAGGACGGCTTCCTTATTTGTAGTGGATTTAAAAGTAGTTGCGATTCATCAGAATTCATGCACTCAGGGAAGTGCTCTGAAGCCCAACCCACATTACACATTTTCTGTGCATTGTGTGCAATTACACAGTTCCACCAGAGCTGTCTCCATGTCCCCAAAACTTATTTAACATCGCTTGAAATGTATCCGTGTTGTCCATTTGTTGATTTCTTGTCTTGAATACTTGAAATATGTGTTGATTGGCTGACCTATTATCTCATTCCAAATGCAGACCAGGCTGAAGCCCTTCTTTTAACTTCAGCATGAATGGGTGGGCTAAATGTGTGTATAGACTGAATGGATAGATATATGTTCATCAGCTGGATTTTGTGACATTACAAATTAGTGCTTAGTTGCCATATGTGGGCTGGGGAACAAACTGTACCTTTTGAAACATTTGCATTTACATATGCTGCACATGACATATATAATAAAAAAAATATATATATATATATATATATATATATATATATATATATATATATAAATAATTATATATATTTTAATTTCACAAAAATGAGGAAAATTTAGTTTGCCATAAAATGGGCCCTTTAACCCTTTGGATATAATCAGTCTTCCTGTTAATCTTAAGAGAAGAATACTCAAAATTTGAAATATAAGTAGGAACTGCAACATAAGTAGTGGTACTTCTGGACTGCATTTCTTTTTCTCATGTCTGACATGAAAATTCATTCAGAATTGGGGCAGTAGCAGAAGCCTTCAGTGCTCTGACATCTGGCCTTTGTCTTTGAGTCTGTTCTTTGTCTCTGTGTTCTGTTCAGCTGAAGAAGGAGGCACGCACCATCTATGATCTATATCTGTCTGATACTTCCTTCCATGCTGTCAATATAGACGACACGGCCCGCACTGAAGAGAGCGACCTAGAGAAACCCACACCAGACATGTTCAGCAAAGCACAGCAACAGGTGCAGAATGCACACACGTGCACAGTTAATATAACAGACTGTGTTATGTGCGTCATCTTATGCCTTTGTGTCCTACGTTTTCTTTCCTCCCATGGTCAGATCTTTAAGCTGATGAAGTTTGATAGCTATGCACGTTTTGTGCGCTCACCGCTCTATCAGAATTGCATGCTGGCCAGTGTGGAGGGACGGCCACTGCCTGACCTCCAGCCCCAGAGCAAGGGTTCTAGAGAGTGCGTCATGCCTGCTGGTGACCGGAAGGTAAGTGTTCTCAGTTCATTCGATTATTCATTTCTTCAAACTCTGTTAGGCTTCTTTCACTCCTTAAAGGAACAGTATAGAAAAAAATATCAAATTTCTCCAATTTCTCCAACTGAAGCTACAAGGCATGAACAATAGAACTTGTTCTTGGAACAATACTCCAATTTCTCTACTCGCCCAAACCACATTCAGGTCCTCATAAAGGTTGCACAGACCTGCCGATGAGGTTTAGAGCACTGTGAGCTATAAAAATAAACAAAACAACACCAGGGCTGGTATTCACAAAGCAAGACTGATCTTGGATCAGTTTCCTCCATATTTATGATGGTCGCTGTCACAGTTTTGTCTTGTTTATTTTTATAGTTCACAGTAAGTCATACTAACCACATTGGCAAGTCTGCTGTACCTTAATGAAGACCTGGATGCGATTTGAGCCGGTTGAAAAGTTTTGGGGATTTATTTTTGCAGAAATAATTTGGGCTATATGAGTGACTGTTGACTATTGTGTTGTAGTGCATATAAGCAATATTAGTCTTGTCACTCTGGTTCTAAACTAAAGAAGCAAAATTTAGACTGCAAATGTATCTCAGGCGATTGACTACATCTGTTGTAAATTTGATTTTTCGCCAAACCGCTCCTTTAATGCTATGGGCCAAATAGCGTAAATATTTTGGGTAAACTTTTTTGTTAGGTAAATGATATGCACAGGGGGAAGCACAGTTAGATGACGGTCAGATTTAAAAGCTCTTTTGAACATGGCTTTTCATATCATCTAATCTCAGCAGGTCTGAGCTGTTAAGAGTTTCACTATAACATCTGGATTCTTGATTTTCACTACAATTAAGAAGGGTAATATGCTGATTCACTGCGCATACCATGCATGAAGGAAGTAAATCTCTTCATTAAGACTGGACATCTGATTCAAAAATAACTGGCTTGCATTTGAAACTGCAGACTAGAATCTGCAGTCTTTGCCAAAACCTAGTCAAAGCTTGGAGATAGGACTCCATGGACATTGATAAAATGCTGCGATGACATGCAGTCAGAATTTCTTAATGCTTATGGGGTTTTTGTACCCATAACTAGTAGCAAATTTACTGTAACACCCTTAAGGGTGAGATTTCTGGCATTTCTGAAGTGAACCAATGGGAAAGGCCATACTGTGGGCAGTGAAAGGTTAAGGCTTTCCTTCCAGTGTAGGTGTATACTGGCTGACTAACAGTGCAGAAGAGTCATGATGATTCAGGCCGAAATGTACGGCAATATAAGGTTACAAATTATTTTTGGCTTTAAAGGGCCAATGTCATATATATAAAATGTTTATGTGTATACACAGCCTGTTTGGAATTAATTGTTCCATACAATACTGGGCAAAAGTCAGATATAAAAAGATTAGATATAAGATAATCCACGTGGAAAAGAAAGAAGAAAGTCAAATAAATAAAAAACAAGCTTCCAAAAACTAGAATTAAAAAAAATATTATAGAGAAAATGTGACTCCTAACAATAGACTGGTAAACCAGCAAAACTGTCCCTGTCAGCTTTCATCTTTGAGAGAGAGAGAGAAGAAAAACAAGTTCCAGTCTTGCTTCAGATCTGAATACATCCACAAGGCTTCTGTCTGATTTTCTGTTGATGTTTCCGCAGTTTTCCTGAAAAATGATCCAGTCATTTTGACTGGAAATTGGCAGAAAGGGTGGTCTCTGACATTTTGTGAATTACTGTGTATCTGCGTTCAGCCTTCAGCAGTTTTGCCCTGGCACACATTGCTTCATTTTTAAATGCTTTTTAAATGATGAACACTGCAGAGCAGCCAACACGTCAGTTACATATCAGTCTTAAAGGCTCAGTTACAAACAGCCTATTTAACTCTAAAGGATGAAAAGAGGTTAATGTAAAAATGGATTATGACTGTTTTTGGTACACAAGACCTCCAGACATCATAAGTGGACCTCAGTGGAAAATTCAAATACAAAAAATGTAGGATACTGGCCCTTTAATGTGTACCCTAAAGACCTAAAAGTATGTGTGTGTGTGTCTGAAATAGAGCATGGAAGTGAAGATGCCACTGTCGGATAGCAAAGCAGGCAAGAAGAAGAAGATAGAGAAGAGAGGATCGTGGGGAGGTACTGAGCTGTGTACAGTTTGTGTTTGAAAGTTGATTTGCTTCATTGAGTCATTTGATTTTCTTGTTTTATTTATTGGTTTGGTAATGAAATTATGATACAGTACTCTTTCTAATAAGGTGTAGTTCCAGAGCATAATCACTGAGGGTGCCTTGGAAGTAAAGGAATATAACCAAACTCTGGGAAAGTGGTAGATAAAGTATAATGAAATGCATGGCTGGCGTTTGTTGTGGAGGGATTATCAGGAGCAAAAAAAGGCACTGGGGTGCTATGGAAGAGTGGTGCAGGGCATGAATAATGCAGTAGTTGCTAACTGCAGCACAATACACTGTTTGCAGTGATTACACAAACATTTCAGGCGTTATTGGACTTCATAAGTGCTGTGTAGTTTAATTATAGTCTTCATAGCACACTAGCAGAGCCGCTCTGTGTAACTAAAAAATTACTGAAAGGCAGCATCAGCCCAGATCATCTCATGGGTCTTGGGGTGCATGTACATGGGCCAAAGCCGCTAGGGGCCCCTCAGGTCCAGCACTGGGGCTCAGTTATTGGAGCAGTTGGCTGCATTATAGGGATGTACTCTATTTTACGGGAAGGTAGATTTTCTGAATGTGTTTGCTGATTTGCTGTAAGTGCGGGTTTCCTATTGATTCTCTCCTGAATAAAATGTGTCTCATCAGATGTGTTTATGGTGTTTATGCTGGTGACATGACTAACACTGCAGTTGGCATGCTGCCACCAGGCTGTGATATTGTAAAAGTGTCCCACAAAGCATTTGAGCCTATAACTGGATGCTCTGGGTCTGTGCATCGTTCATAAGGCTACACAACATTTACATAAGCCTTTCATGACAACAACTGTTTATAGATAAGTGTCAGTTGTTAAAAGACTTTCTGAGGTGAAATCGCAAAAAAAAGACAGCAGCCTTTATGACAACTGACATTTGTTGGAATAACTGCCTTTATAAATGTTTATTTAGGTACAAATTATCATGAGAGGCTTATTTAGGTGTCATGTATCCTGACGAATGCTGCGCTTCAGTAAGGTGTTACCAAATTCTGTGCATGCTTTGACTCAGGCCTTAGGCAGGAGATAGGCAGGCCTTCTAAATGCATTCTAAAGCTTAACTGAGGTTGTAATGTTGCACTAGGCTGCATTGTTAATGAGGGCTCTTCTTCACTGTATTCCAAGTTTAAATAATGGTTTTGAAGTAACATGAAAACACCCGTAGATCTGTGTGTACTTGCATGTTTTTATAAGTACTTGTAGTCTGTCTGCTGGGCTAACTCTACTCTCTTGTTTGCATGTGTGCTGTTTCAGCGGATGTGTCATACCGGCGGGTGACAGTGTCCAGACAGGAATCTCAGATTTCAGTGAAGTCCAGCAGCAGCGTGGAGCTGGGCTCCCTGTCTGGCAGGTCTGAGGTGGGTCCACAAGTCTAGCTATGTTTGAGGAAGAGCTGGCAACACTGTAACCCAATATTAATGCATCCTACTGAGAAATACAGATTGAGTATTTGAGGTTTGGGTCAGAGATTTAAGATGATCTTAGTACCTTCAAGTTTAGTCTGTGACTGTGATATGAGTTACACCTATTCTAAGTACTTACTAAGTAAGATGTGGTATTAAAGAAATTGTTCAGTTTTTTTTTTTAGCATTAGCATTGTGCAAGCTGCAGTCAACAAGCATTGCTTGTCTTGAGCAACTTTTGGGGTGTAGGAGAAATTATGTAAATTAGATTAGAGCTATTCCTTTAAAGTAAGTAGGAATTGGAAATACTACATTTTCCTTTTTAATGTGGCATTTTTGAGTGACACGTGGTATCAGGGAGGGTGTCTGAGCTAGTTGAACATTATCTCAGGATAATGGGTGGTGGGAGGGGGATGTAAAACATATTATTGATCATCATTTTTCCCCACCCACTGGTACACATTTGTCTATTAAATGTTATGAAGAATTGTGCTTAACATGATCAGGGACATAAACTGTCAAAGTGAAAATGTCTAAAACTCACTGTTCGTTTCAGGTTGACTAAACAGACTGTAAACAGTACTAAACAGACCTCCTCTCTCCTCATTGTGCCTCTTTCAGAATGGCTGTTCGAGCCCTGTAGGTTTGGATGCGGACTCGGGCTCCGGTCCTATGCGAGCGGATAAATACTGCTGTGTGTATCTGCCAGACGGCACAGCGAGTCTGGCTCCGGCACGGCCCGGTCTGCCTCTGCGGGACATGCTGAGCGGCCTCTGTGAGAAGAGAGGATTCCCTCTGAAAGACGTCATCATCTACCTCCACGGCAAGGACAAGGTCGGACACATGCTGACCTACTCACTGATGCATAAATAAGTCTAAATAAAAAGGGTATAAAATCAATATACGTTAAAAATCTGATGTAGATGCAAGGTACTTAGAATTTAATGTATGAAGGGTTTCATTCCAAAATGCATTATAAAGCAATTTCACCTTTTTTCTCCCAATTATATACTGTGTTGGGAGTGACCTTTTACACATACAAGAAATATCAATGATATATTATGATAAATACATAAGACCTTAAGATTCACACCAGGTACATCTTTTTCAGATGAAAAAAAAAAACAATGCAATTTTTAAACGTACTGTAACCTTCACACCTTGTCTGATGATTTTGTGTTTTTAACACTCTGGAGAAAATGGGAAGAAGACTGAATGGGTTCCTGGAGTAGTGGCAAATATGGATTTGTCATTTAAGCACTGCAACCAAAAGTGCTCACACAATCTACGATAAAGACAGATCATGAAAAGATTAGGATATCTAGATAAACAAATAGTGACTGTTTATCGCTGTGTGTTGCACTGATGTACTCACTGCCAGTCCCAGCCTTTCAGCTTTCTTTAACCTCTGAATTTTTATAGTCAACTTGTTGCTTGTCAGATGTGTTTTAATGCCCAGCTATGAACAAGATAAGCTGCCGCCATTTGTTAGGAGGGCAGCCATGACCACTGCGCTCTGATTGATCAGCCTGCTTTTTAATGCGTCTTCACAGTGCAGAAAATTTAGCTGAAATTACTTCTCTATTTAGTTTGTTTACAAAACTTGACGTGTTTTTTTTTGTCTGTAATACCAGACTCTGTGTGAATAGGCCTTTATTACAGAAATAAAAATCTGTCTGCGTTTATCCGTCAGATGTTAATCTTTTCAAAGCTTGTCATATCCAAAATTGTTACTACTGGATATACAGCTTTTTGGGGTGAAACTCTTCATATAATCATGGAAATATTGATTACAGTGTTTTTTTTTGTTTTTTTTTGTTTTTTTACACAATACTTGTTTTGTCAACACACAGTTGACATAACGGATACCTACATAGGTCTTTATGTTACTGCTGTTTAGCAGTGGTTGTGTAATGGCTTATGTAATTGTAACCCTTGTCAGTCGGGCTGATGTCGCGATGAAAATTTGCCCTGCAGTGATTTAGGGTGGCTCAACGCTGCAATATGACACAATAGTGCCATTTTGTGTTATTTTTAGGAATTAAGCAATTTATGATTAAGTAATTAAGCAATTTATGATTTATGATAAGCTTTATTGTATATTTATTGTATATAGGTATATTGTTGCTTTTTAAATGACAAAGAGCACAGTTTTAAGACAAATTAAATACTTGTTTATTGTTAAATGCAGAACACAGATGGGCAATGAGGCCCGATAAGAACGCATGCCTTTTCTCCTTTATGACAAAAGCATTAAGCCTAGTCTACAGCCTATGCTAGATGTACACTGTGAATCTGAACAAGATGTGTAAAAAAAAAAAAAAAATGAAAATAAAAAAATGAATAAAACCTTTCCTTGATCATAAAGAATAAAGAACATAAGATTTAGACACGGGTTTTAACGTCCTTGTTGCGTGCTAGAAAAACCAACATGTTCGCCTTATGTGTTTTCAGAGCCGTTGCCATTTCCATACCTTTCCATCTTAAAAAATGAAGATCGAAAGCAGCGTCAGGTGCGAACAGACAGTTGGCAGGAAAAAGTACTCCCTAAACTCTTGTTTACTTTATGATTTTATTTAACATTCATTACACATGCACTGAAGTGTCAAATAAGAAGAGCCTTGCCTCATGAAAAAAAAACGTGAACATCGTGGTCATGGTGGTCGAAGGTGCCCTGCGGTTGGCTTCTCGATAGTACAGTATTGCAATATTGTGGGTATTGCGATAGCCCTACTAGTCAGCAGCTAATGGGCTATTTTATGAGATTAAATCATGGGCAGATGTTGAGTTATGGCAGGCGTTGTGTGTGTTTGTGTAATGTTGTGGGTTTTCTTCTACAGCAGCCTCTCTCTTTGGACCAGGACAGCTCTGTATTGCGGGACCAGCAGGTCCACCTGGAACTTAGAGTGACATTTACGTGAGTTGGTCTCACATATACACAAGTATGTTTGCTCTGCAGTTGGTTAGTTTATTGAACCCTTTACATTAAAAAGAAATTTATTTTCACTTTGTCACAGAACTTTGATTTTGATATTAAGTGCAGGATCATCACAACACCTAATAATGAAATGATATTGTAGAATAAAAGCTGATCAGCACCCAGTATTTACTGGATTAAAAACAGAAAACTATTACAATTAGTGTTAGCCTTGTAAATTGGCCTAAGTCATATTTTTCTTTTTATTTTTTTTTTTCTCCACAAGGTTCAATTATGTTTCTTGACTCATATGGACAGTTCTAGGGGAAAAACTTTGTGTAAAACCTTTAGATTAAGTAGAGGCTCTCTTATTCTCTTTATTTTTAATCATGTAGGTTATTAAAACAGCCCTCAAATGGCCACCAGTCATCATTTGCTTGTTTGTTTGTTTGTTTGTTGTATATGTGCATGTAGTTTGGAGATAGTGTTTGCCGGGAAGGCGTCAGTAATAGTGGCGAAGTCCAGTAAAACTCTGGGAGAGGCCCTCTCCTCTGTTCTACAGAAGCACAGCCTCCGGCTGCAGGATGTCGTCGTCACCGTGGTGCGTGTTTGAAATCATCCTGTATTTACTGTGTGGCTGTAATATGTTGATAACAGTTCTGTATCATTTTTGTAGTATTTTGTAGTAATTTTTCTTGTGAAACTGGGTGACTCTGTTCTGCTGTTCTGTGTTCATATCAGAGTGGAACAAAAGAACCTTTGAACATGAATACCAGCGTCTTCAGTCTGGCCAACAAGACCCTCAGTCTGGCCAACAAGACCCTCAGTCTGGACAGAGCCAAAAGTGAGTCAGCAGAGAATGACCAAGCTGGTTGTCTGTCTGTCTGTCTGTCTGTCTGTCTGTCTGTCTTTTTCTTTCTTTCTTTCCTTCCCGTCTTTCTTTTTCTTTTGTTTTCTTCCCTTCTTTTTCTTTCTTTCCTTCCTTCTGTCTTTCTTTCTTTCCTTTTTCTTTCTTTCCGTCCTTCCCTTTCCTTGCTTCTGTCTTTCTTTCTTTCCTTTTTCTTTCTTTCCGTCCTTCCCTTTCCTTCCTTCCATCTTTCTTTCTTTCCTTTTTCTTTCTTTCCGTCCTTCCCTTCCCTTTCCTTCCTTCCATCTTTCTTTCTTTTTCTTTTTTTCTCTTTCTTTCTTTCCGTCCTTCCCTTTCTTTCCTTCTGTTTCTTTCTTTCTTTCTTTTTTTCTTTCTTTCTTTCTTTCTTTCTTTTTCTTTCTTTCCATCCTTCCCTTTCCTTCCTTCCATCTTTCTTTCAGTCTTTCATTCTGTCTTTCCTTCCCTTCCCTTCCCTTCCTTCCCTTTCCTTCCTTCCATCTTTCTTTCTTTCTTTCCTTTTTCTTTCTTTCCGTCCTTCCCTCTCCTTCCTTACATCTTTCTTTCTTTCTTTCCTTTTTCTTTCTTTCCTTCCTTCCATCTACTGTTCTCTTTCTTTCTTTCTTTTTCTTTCTTTCTTTCTTTTTTTCTTTCTCTTTCCTTCCTTCCTTCCTTCCTTCCTTCATTCCTTTCCTTTTGTCTTTACTTCTTTCTTCCTTCCTTTATATTCCTTTCTCTCTATCCCTGCTTTTTTCTTTAGGTTTCTTTTTTCTTTTTGCTCTTTCTCGCTCTTTTCTTTTCTCTCTGCTTTTTCCTGCCATGTTGTCTTTTTTCCCTCTCTTTCTCTTTCTTTTTCTTTTTGCTTTTTCCTGTCTCTTTTTTCTTTCTTTTTTCTTTTCCTCTCTCTCGCTCACTCTCCCTCCCTCCCTCCATCTATCCCTCCATCTGTCCCTCTCAATCTCTCTCTCCCTCCCTCCCTCTCAACCTCTCCGTCTATTCCTCCCCACTCTATTCTTTCTCCTGCCTTTTTTTACTCTGTCTCTTTAAGTTCTTTTCTCTCTGCCCCCCTCCCCACACCTCTTTATCTCTCTCCCTCTCTCTGTTTATCTTGTTGTCTAGTCATGTCAGTGTTTCTGTTCACGAAGCCCCTCTGTGGCCACTTCACATCCCATCAACCTTTTCATCTCTCTGAGTCTTTCGCTCCTCACTGGCCAATTACTGTGTGCTAATACTGCCTCAGCAGCGCTCTCACTGCAGAGCCCTTCACTTCAGGGGTCCTTCTATTCCTCTCTATGAGGGGGAAACAACTCATACTACTATTTTTGAACTTCCACTGAGGACTATGGACTGAAGCTGCGCAGTATATCGTTTGTTAATCATTATTATCTTGGCCTTTGAAATGCTGATGTGCCAGAATGTTGCCATATGAAAATGAGCCCTCTGACCAATCAGTTTTACTGCGCAGTGAGCAGCCTCACTCGTCACAGCTCCAGATGAGTGTTTCTGTGTTTAGATGTGAATTGAGTTACACATATAATCCAACAAAAGTGACCTATTTTGGTTAAAATAGTGCAGTTCGGTCTTTGACTGTCACATTGTAATACACCTTGCATACAACATGTATTAAAAAAATGGTGAATCAGTAGTTGTGATTATGTAGCAACATTCTCCCAATACTAGTATATCATCCACTACTACATATAAAAGGTCAGTCGTTAACAGGCTGAAGGCTCAAAGCCAAATGGCAATGGCCTTTGCAGACATACCTAGCATTCTCTTCCAGACTGCACTGGAAACCAAAGCATGTGTTGCACCACTGAAATGGAACACTGTTTTAGAGAAGTGGAGGCCCATTTCAGTTACAAATGTAACCACCTACTTCTGTCTGCTCTGCCTCTAACCACAGTTCAGTCCTGAGCTCCACTATGAAAAGACACTCCTCTGGACTTCATTATTGCTGGGGTTAATGCTAGAAAATGCAGGTCACAAAGTATCATAGATAAATAACTATTTTATTTCCTTATTATGAGGGTATTGAAAGCTATGGGGGCGGGGACATGATTTATGTTCCTATTTGCCATAGATAGTCAGACACATTTTCTTAAGATTGGCATTTGGCGTAGTTAAAACTCCAAAATACATTTGAGCTTCCGCCACACCCATCAAGCACCTTAGGGCGAATGTCTGTCACTTGAAAATCTGAGCAATTGCCAGATATGTTTTCAAGAAAACCATTATGTCCATGCCGTTATGAGGGAGTGTCCTGGGTGTTACATGTAGAAGTGGTTTCAGTTACTGCGGTAACGTAGAATGCCACCCAGCTTTTCTCACATGTTTTTGTTTGGATGTGTTCTTTGTATTGATGCAGGTGCTGGTGAGGTGAAAGGTGCTTCAGTTGTAGAGACTGGCCGAACAAGCCTGAGACCCAAAAGAATGCATGACATGGATGGTACGTACTGTAAGCACCTGACTAATTTTAAAGGTTTATCCTGAATGAAATAGAATAGTGACCACAACTGTGAACAGTCTCTGTACCTCCTGTTCTACAAGGCCACAAAACCACACAGTGTTTCCCTGTGCCAGATAAATCTCACCAAACTACTACAATTTTGAGCTGAATTTTCCAATTGATTTAGTCACAAAGCAGTTTTCAGGCCCAGAACATTTAGCAGAAGGTTCTTTGCAATCTTGAGACACCGATCTTGTCCATTTCTCTCTGGCATGTTCACATCCCTCAACTGTGCTTGAGAGGAAGAGCTGATGGCCACTTTCTGCTAACAGTAGTATGTGGCTGTTTTGTCATGAGTGTCTGTTTGTCATGAGTGACAGTTTTCTAGAAAAATCAACACTATGTCCCCTTTACCCCAGACATAGATCAGATATGGTCTCATAACAAGAATGTTTGATCACAGACATGAGAAGTTTTGGGCTAAATGTGGCTAGCACTGTAAACTTATTAGGGTGGGAAAAAAACTGAAATTTGAAAACAGTGAAATTTATAAACCTCATGAAGGCATAAACTTACAGTTAAATGAATCGACACTTTTATGCTTTGAAAAGACTGTTAAATGTTACTGTTTTGCTTGTATTTGTGTTTATATTACATTTTGCCATTCTAAAACAGGAGTGCTTTGAACGTGAGTTCATTGCAAAGGACGCTTCATTAAGGTCGTGGCTAAGAAGGCAGATGTAGCACTGTAACCTTCTTTTGCTAACTAGTCTAACTAGGAGATGTTACCTGGGTCCAGAAACAGTGGAAACATTTTTCTGACAAACTAACATGTTAGCACATGATCCACTGAGGACAAATACCTTGTGTAGAAGTCGAGTCCTCATCAGCATCCAGTGTTTTGTAGCGTTTGGCTGTAGTTTTAGCTTGTTTGAAGAGCCTCTGTTACTCATCCAGCAAAAAAAAAACCCTGCTTTTTTTAATAATATAGCATGTTTTCAAAATATATTGCTAAATGTTTGTGCAACTGATTTTTTGTATTGATATTTTTATGCTTCTTAACACCAGAGCTTTTACCTAAAAGAGTAAACCTCTGGCCATACCATACTAAGCACTTGTTTCCTTAGCTGTGGTTAACCAGATAGCCATTCATTAGCTTGAGGATACTTAAATATCAGAATTACTCTGAATGCGTATCCCTATACATTACATGCTGTAAAAATAAATATTACCTCTTGCAAGGGAAAAAAAACTGTTCCATTAGGTAACAGTAGTGTTCTGTTAGTAAGCTTGTTTTGCTTCTGTTGTTGATTGTACTCCAGATGTTAAAAGAGCATGGACTAGAGGAATTTGGGGCGGGTTAGAGGGGGACACACTCTTGTTTGCAGCATATTTCCCACAATCCAGCACCCAAAATTTTACCCAGTTGCCCCAAGACATGTATTCTTATATTCTTGATGAGAAATCATGCCTGACCCCGTGAGCCTACCTCAAACAGCCCAGACCTGTTTGCTGTCTGAAGTTTATTTCTTGTTTTTACACTGGAGCGACAAGGCTAATGTAGCTAACAAGTAACCTTTTAGCCACCTTTTAGCATCAAACCAGCCTAAATTATCACGCAAACTGTGCTGTGTAAGACTTTGTGGTTTCTGACCCTCTATATGAGACCATTATCTATAAAAACTGAGATTGTAGAGACAATTCAGGTTTCACAATGGTTGTTTCTACTGTTTTTAACTGCCAAGTGTGCTTTTGATCTTACATCAAATAACAGATAAAATTATCATGCATTCGTTCTTTCCTTATAGTTCTCTCAAATACTTGTCTCTTTATTGTCTCAGGTCTGGTAGAGATGCTGAACCGCGCTCAGTGCAGCAGGGCAGATGACCAGCGTGGTTTACTGACCAAAGAGCAGCTGGAACTGCCCCAGTTCCTGCAGCTCCCAGGAGAACAAAAGGACGAACAAAGGCCTGAAGAGGGACCAGAAAGCCCTTCCAACCACACACACTCTGCTGGGTCATCAGAGGAAAGGGGGAAACAAAAAATTAACGGAGTTAATAAAGACCCTAGTAAAGAGAAGACTGTAAAAGACTGTGAGAGGGACAGAATAGGCTCTAACAATGGGACCTCTCTGTGAGCATGTGTGGGCATGCATTCTTTGTGTGGCACTGATGCATTTATAAATGAGTGCGTCATCAATATTCGACATAGTATACTCAGTGTATTCCCACACACTGTCCTTCAACAGAGATCTATTGGTAAAGACTGTGAACTGCCCACTGATGCTGATCTGTTTTTTAATAGCTCTTTATCTTGCGCTTTATGTATATGTTTCATTTTTATAGAGGTAAGAAAACTACATATAGAGAAAGTTTATTGTTTGAGAGATTTCTGTCGTGTATTTATTTTTCTATACTGTGGAATGTTTTACTGTTATCAAGAATCAGATGCTCTTATATTTATTTAGAACATTTTGCTACACTTACATGATTTTCACGTATTGTTCTTGTATTAATTTGTTTCACTTGCATGAATTTGTTGTGTTGAAAAGCACGAACTTTGTTGAAAAATTGCATTGTGTAATTTGTGATTTTTGCTCTCTGCACTTTTGCCTTTGCTGTTCAGGATCTAATACAGTTTACATACTCTCGAGTGCTTTCTGTGCCTTGTTTGACATACGGAGATCTAACTGTTCCTTCCAATTTCGGGTTTACTTAGAATCAAATAATCTTCATCCACATTTCCAGTCTTGTTTCCATTCACTCCACAGCCCTGAGACTGCTTCCCTCCAGGTCATTAATGACATTTTTATTGCTTCTGATTCTGGGCCGTGTTGTACGTTAACCAAGATTGCTGCCCCATGTATCCTGCATTTATTTGGAGGGCTGGTTATGCACATTCTTAGTGTATCCTTAATGTGTAGCAGTTAGTGGATAACTCTGCTACCCTCTACACAAAGGCTTCATGCTGTGCTACACACTCTGGCAAGACTTCTAACGCTACTTTCGCCTACCTCTGTTACATTAAGTTGTAAGTTTCTCTGGATAAGAGCATCTGTCATGCATAAATGTAAATGACATGGCCACAAAATGCAAAACAAACTGTGTAGGGACTGTAAACCATGAGGTAACAGCGGCAGCAGAATGAACAAACCATGACAACAGCACTTCTGCTGTCTGAACCTGCTGTCTTCTCAAGAAAAGCAAATGATAAGGATCTCTTTTAACTGTCTCCATACGTTTGACCCTGTTGTGCAAAAACAGAAGTGGTAATTGAGAAGAAGTCAACATTTTTACTGTCAGACAACACAGATCTTCCACAACTCCTGTTGCTCAAGGTGTTCCTCAGGATTCTGTTCTTGGCCCTCTATTCTTCATAATTTACGTGCTACCCCTTGACACAATTTGCTATTATGGTCATTTTTTGTTCAATACTATGCTGACAACAGACAGAGCTAGTCATGGTTTTGAGCTTGTCATGAACGTAGTCATGGTCTTGGCTAATGCAAAGCTCCCTTTATTGGTTCCTCTGCTGAAGCTTAAATTAATTTACAATATGTTAACTTGGTTTAAACTCCAACCCTTCCTAAAACTCCCCTCCAAATTTCTGTCATGTGCTCTTTCAACATCTGGAGGTAAAGCAATAACACAACAAAAACAAAAGCCTAGCTAACAATGCATTTTTTTTATCTAACAGAACTTCTGTACGGGGGATTTTTCAGCTAACTTGCATTACACCTATGGACTATCAATAGGCTTGTCTGTCAGACAGCATTGATATCTGGGCAATTGCGCTGTTCTATTGCTGTCTATTGTGTTCACTATATTTAGGCTTCCTCCAATGACAGCATGGTTTCTGTGCTTTTCCTATTAGACTTCCATCAGGCCCTCGGATAGGTCTTGGCACACACTGATGACATCATTGGTGCTTGACACCTCCCACTTAAATAGGTGTGAGGAACATTCTGCCTCTTCTCTGATGGCTGTGTTTCAAAAGCATCGTGCCTATAGCTGTGTGCAACAGTTCTTTAGTTAGAACCGAGGGTGGGCAAATTGGGAGCTTGATTTGACTCATAACTCCCACCTAACTGAATGACTGGCAACACATGAAACTTCGATGCACAAAGGAAATAAGGGTTTTGGTCATTACAGTGGAGAGGGTTGGAATTTGAACAGTTTTTTCTTTTTTTTGTCTGTACCTGTCAACAGACGCACACGTCAAAAGTTTGTAGACATTTGCTCATCCAATAGGTGCTGGATCAAGGCTCGCTATCTATTTTAGTTTTTGAGTTGATAGATGCCTGGCTCAGAATGCCTCGCTCTTACACCCTTCAATTTTTTTGATTGTAACAGTGATTGTTGGCTGTGGTGTCTGTCCGACCCACCAGGCCCCGATGATGGCTGCGAAAGCCGGGGATGAAGCCTGGCTGGGAGAGGAACACGCCGAGCCCCGAGCCCCACTTCCTCGCAGTGTTCGTATTTCCGTTGTCCTTGTTGGGCTTCGTCCCTGCTTGGAGCTTGGGCTTCCTAGACTAGAAAACCTTGTAGGGGTAACAGGAATAGCTCTTTCCTGGTTCATGTCCTACCTCACTGATCGCTATCAGTTTGTTAATATAAACGGTGAATCATCTGCCCTCGCAAAAGTAAAGTATGGTGTTCCGCAAGGCTCTGTTTTAGGACCTGTATTATTCACATTATATATGCTACCACTGGGCACCATTATCAGTAAACACAGCACAAATTTCCACTGCTATGCCGATGACACTCAGTTATATTTAGCAAGCGACCCGGATGATAAAATTAAACTTAGCAAGATTGAGGACTGTATAAAAGACATAAAGGACTGGATGTCGAGTAACTTTCTCCTTCTAAACTCGGATAGAACAGAGGTTCTGCTTCTTGGCTCTAAAGCAGCTAGAAACAGACTGTCGACTTAACAATTTCTCAGTTGCACCAAGCTCATCTGTAAAAAACCTTGGTGTCATTATAGACCCTGATCTGTCCTTCGACGCACATATAACTAATATTACTAGAACAGCCTTCCTGCATCTCCGCAATATTGCTAAATTAAGAAATGAATTATCTCTACAGGATGCAGAAAAGTTAGTTCATGCATTTATTACTCCAAGGCTAGACTACTGTAATGCCCTGCTGGCTGGATGTTCCAGCAAAAGCCTTAACAAGCTTCAGCTAGTCCAGAACGCTGCAGCCAGAGTCCTCACAAGAACCAGAAAGTTTGACCATATCAGCCCAGTTTTATCAACCTTACACTGGTTACCAGTTAAGTTTCACAATCACCATAAGCGCAGGAAACCGCAGAGGTAAACAGCTCGAGAGCAGTTTTAGCCCAGAAGTTTCATCTGCTTAGACACACTGTGTGTAAGTGTAATAAATATTTCACATAATGTGCAATAAAAGTTAGAACAATTCATTTGAATTTTATCATTTTATCGTAGGGGTTGGAATAAGACCACTGAATAGAGGCTAACTTGCAGACAGACCACTGGCATCGCTAATCTCACAGATTTATTATTACAGCATAACAGCAAGTTATATTTAATAGGTAGTGTGAAAGTCATGCTAAACACAAACTTCAGTTTCTCCAGATGTCTTCTTCCCTCATCTGTGACTGTCTGTTTTGTGAATTGTCTACAACTTTCTCTGAGGAATTCAATATTAGTGGTGCATCCTGAACCTTATCTGACACATTAAATCCATTTAATGCAAATATAAAATTGGTCTGACTTTATTCTGTAATACTGATTCAGGGCCGTTTGTACTGGAGGCTTCATGCAACAGTCCATCTTAAACTCTTCTTCATGCTAAAATGTCAACAGGTTTGTTTTCAGAGCATGCACAATTGGAGAAATTGAGAATATATTGTACAGGTACAGTTAGACACTACGTGTGAACTGGAAATTCTCATGAATGCAGACATCTTTTTTTTATGTATATATAAAAGTAAAACACATATATGAGCAGAAAAAATGCCTTAGCCTTCATTATCTATCACTGCTGCTGCCACTGCAGTAGACAAGACAAGTGGCTTGAGAAAAGCAGGTCACAGACATATTAGATGTTAAATATATAACAATAGACATTATTACTTTATTTATTATTATTAGACATTTATTACTTATTACTTTATTATATTATATCAATTCTATGTCATAGACGAGCTCTGATTGGATCTCTCTGTGTGATTGTCCTGGAATATTGTCTGTACGGACTGAGAGTATAACTTTATGTTTTTAGAAAAATGTGCACAAATATTTTTTTGCTAACATTTTTTCCATGTTAATAATAATATTTCAGATGTAAATACAAAAAAGACTGTAGTTTCTCGCTAGGGATCGATGAACGTTTTCGAGGCTTCCTGGATCGGGGCCCCTTCCTGGATCGGGGCCTTGTCGTGGCGGAAGGGCTTGTGTGGTCTAGGGATCTTCAGAGCTAAGTCGTCGGGAGCAACATGCTCCTGGTAGGGTCTCCCAGGGCGAACAGGTCTGGAGTGAAGACCCAGACTAACTCGATCCAAAAACCTCCATGAAAAACAGGCATAGAACATCGTGTACCCTGCCCGGGAGAGGGTCACCGGGACCTACCCCTGGAGCCAGGCCTGGGGGTAGCGTCCCTCGGCGAGCGCCTGGTGGCCGGGCAGCCCACGTAACCCGGCCGGGCTCAGCCCGAAGAGGCAACGTGGGGGGACCATGTGGGCCCACCACCCGCAAGGTCCAGCATGGGGGAGTGGTGCAGTGCCGTACAGGCAGTGGGAGATTGCAGGGGGGCCCTTGGTGGCCTAGGCCCCTGCGGCAGAAACTGGCTCTTGGTACGTGGAATGTAACCTCACTGGGGGGGAAGGAGCCGGAGCTTGTGCGGGAGGTTGAGAGGTACCAACTAGATATAGTTGGGCTCACCTCCACCCACAGTATCGGCTCTGGAACCAAACTCCTGGATAGGGGTTGGTCCCTCTTCTACTCCGGGGTTGCACAAGGTGAGAGGCGCCGGGCGGGTGTAGGGATACTCACGAGTCCCCAGCTGGCGGCAGTACAGTTGGAGTTTGTCCCAGTGGACGAGAGGGTCGCCTCAATGCGTATTAAAATTGCAGAGAGGAAAACTCTGACTGTTGTGTGTGCTTATGCACCAAACAACAGGTCGGAGTATTCGGCCTTCTTGGAGCAAGTGGGCGGGGTTCTGGAAAGGGTCCCGACTACAGACTCCATAGTCTTACTGGGAGACTTCAATGCTCATGTTGGCAATGACTGGGAGACCTGGAGAGGCGTGATTGGGAAGAACGGCCTGCCCGATCTAAACCCGAATGGTGAATTGTTATTGGACTTCTGTGCCAGGCATGGATTGTCCATAACGAACACCAAGTTCGAACACAAGGATGTTCATAAGTGTACATGGTACCAGAGCTCCTTGGGTCAAAGGTCAATGATCGACTTTGTTGTCGTTTCATCTGACTTGGGACCATATGTTCTGGACACTCGGGTGAAGAGAGGTGCCGAGCTGTCAACTGATCACCATCTGGTGGTGAGTTGGATCAGATGGCAGGGAAGACTGAGGGTTAGACCCGGTAGGCCCAAGCGAATAGTGAGGGTGTGCTGGGAACGACTGTCGGAGGCCGCTGTTCGGAATGATTTTAACTCCCACCTCCGGGAGAGCTTTTCTCATGTCCCGGAGGAGGTAGGGGACATAGAGTCTGAATGGACCCTGTTCAAAACCTCCATTGTGGAAGCTGCCAGGCGCAGCTGTGGCTAAAAGCTTGTTGGTGCCTGTCATGGCGGTAACCCAAGAACCCCCTGGTGGACACCGGTGGTGAGGGAGGCCATCAAGCTGAAGAAAGAGGCCTTTAGGGACTGGATGGCCCGAAGGACTCCCGATTCAGCAGATAGGTACCAACATGCAAAAAAGGTGGCAGCTGCAACGGTGGCAGAAGCAAAATCCAGGGCGTGGGAGGAGTTTGGTGAGGCCATGGAAAAAGACTTTCGGTCGGCCTCAAGGAGGTTCTGGACAACTGTCCGGCGACTCAGGAGTGGTCGGGGTGACTGCGCCCAGGCTGTATTCAGCAGGGGTGGAGAAACTCTGACTTCAAATGAGGATATTGTCGGTCGGTGGAAAGAGCACTTTGAGGAACTCCTTAATCCAGGTGACATACCTCCCTCACGGGAGTCAGGGCCAGAGGCCTCTGGCGTGTCAAGCTCCATTTCCCTGGTGGAGGTCACTGAGGTAGTTGGCAAGCTCTTCAGTGGCAAGGCACCGGGGGTGGATGAGATTCGTCCGGAGATGCTTAAGGCTCTGGATATTGTGGGGCTGTCGTGGCTGACATGCCTCTGCAATAGTGCATGGACCTCGGGAACAGTACCCTTGGACTGGCAGACCGGGGTGGTGGTCCCTATTTTCAAGAAAGGGGACCGGAGGGTGTGTGCCAACTATCGGGGTATCACACTGCTCAGCCTTCCTGGGAAAGTCTATGCCAAGGTGCTGGAAAGGAGACTTCGACCGATAGTTGAACCTCAGATTGAGGAGGAACAATGCGGATTCCGTCCTGGCCGTGGAACAATGGACCAGCTTTTCACCCTCTCACGGATTGTTGAGGGGGCATGGGAGTTTGCTAACCCAGTCTACATGTGTTTTGTTGTAGGGATTTGGAGAAGGCTTACGACCGTGTTCCCCGAGATATCTTGTGGGAGGTCCTCCGGGAGTATGGGGTGCCGGGGTTACTACTCCGGGCCATTCAATCTCTGTACGCCCGGAGTGAGAGCTGTGTTCATATACTCGGCATTAAGTCGGACTCTTTCAGTGTTAGCATTGGACTCCGCCAGGGTTGTGCCCTGTCTCCACTCCTGTTTGTGATATTCATGGACAGGGTGTCAAGGCGTAGCCGGGGTCAGGAGGGCGTTATGTGTGGAGGCCGGAGGGTGGCGTCTCTGCTATTTGCAGATGATGTTGTTCTTTTGGCTGGATCACATGGATGCCTCCAGCGCACACTGGAGCGGTTTGCAGCTGAGTGTGAAGCGGTTGGTATGCGGATCAGCACCTCCAAGTCTGAGTCCATGGTCTTAGCCCGGAAAAGGATGGTATGCCCACTCCAGGTAGGGGGAAAGGACTTGCCCCAGGTGGAGGAGTTTAAGTATCTCGGGGTCTTGTTCACGAGTGATGGGAAGAAGGATCGTGAGATCGACCGCAGGCTGGGACAAGCGGCAGCAATAATGCGGTCGCTGTACCGGACTGTAGTGGTGTATCTGTTTACCGATCGGTGTACATCCCAACCCTCACCTATGGTCATGAGCTGTGGGTAATGACCGAAAGAATGAGATTGCGAATACAAGCGGCAGAAATGAGCTTTCTTCGCAGGGTGGCGGGCTACACTCTATTTGATAGGGTGAGGAGCTCGGCCATCCGGGAGGAGCTCGGAGTAGAGCCGCTACTCCTCCGCATTGAGAGGAGCCAGCTGAGGTGGTTCGGGCATCTGATTCGGATGCCCCCGGGACGCCTCCCGGTGGGGGTGTACCAGGCACGGCCTACCGGAATAAGACCCCGGGGTCGTCCTTGGACCCGCTGGAGGGATTATATCTCCAAGTTGGCCTGGGAGCGGCTTGGGGTCCCCGGGAATGAGCTGGAGGAAGTTGCGGAGGACAGGGTCACCTGGGATTCTCTGCTCTCCCAACTGCTACCGCGACCCTATCTGGACTAAGCGGTTAACGATGATGATGATGATGATGATGACCTGCAGCATACAATGTTTCTGAAATCAAGGGTATTAAACTCTGGAGACTGCAGTTCCACCGCTGTTTTTTTTTTTTTAAACTCCTCTAACAGTAGCTTGGCATTGGGCATGCTGACCTTAGGCTCATGTGCGCTGTCTGCTGGCTCACTTCCTGTCTCACAGACAGGCGAAACTTAATCACTATTATACTAACATAAATCCCCCACTACTTTTGCCCAAGGTGTTCCCCAGCGCTTTCTTCTTCATTTATATTCTGGCCCTTGGCACATAATTAGCTGTTATGGCCTCATTTTGCAGTATTATGCTGACAACACACTATATCAGTTCCAGCCCCCACACTCCCCTTCCTCCACCTCACTGACTGCTTGTATCTGTGGCATTAAGATCAGGGTGATCTAGAACTGACTTAAACAAAACACCCAGTCTTGACATTAATTAATAGAGTTTGGGTCAAACCCTCTTAAAATGTTTGTAGTCTTGGCATCATACAATTTATGTCCAAAGGTTTGTAGACAACTAAAAAGTTAACAGGGAATTTGTTCCCCCTTTGCTATAGTAACAACATGTACTCTTCTGAGAAAGCTGTATACTATTCGTTTGAACATTGCTGTGAGAATTTGATTGTATTGAGCTACATAGGCATTAGTGAGGTCAGGTTCTGATGTTGTTTGATTAGTCCTGGATCACAAAAAAGGTACTTCAACTCATTCAAAAGCCCAGTGGTGGGTATTTAACTCATCACTCTCATATCAGCTCACTTACAAAGTCCTGTAACCTCTCTGTAATATTGACTCCTCCCAACACAGACTCCGCCCATGCCCACTCGTGCAGTTGCTCCAGGGCATCCCATTCTACTGGCCAGTGCTTTTCTATGAAGATTACACAAACTGTGTGTATGTAATCTAATGACTGTGTCAGCAATTGACGTACAGAGAGAGCTACAGAGTTGCTGTATACACACTGCACTATGTGATTACATGTTGGAGCAATTAAAACATTAAAGAACATTTCAGTAGATTTTTCCCTAAAGCAGTGGTTCCCAAACCAGTCCTCCTTTACTGGTAATGCTTTCTTTTACAGTCTTTTAAGTTCTAGATATTAACCAGATAAGTGTGAGATGCATACTCTAAAGTACTAGGTGATTATTTTGGGTAACATGATGGTTAGCTCCGAGAAAGTTTAACCAAGTTACACTTAGTTGAGTTAAACACGTTCCACATATTAACTGAGTGAGTGTGAAAACTGAGTGAGTGAGAAAATACAAGGATAGTTTTCTGAAGTAAACAGTAAGGTACTCATAAAACCACAGTAAGAATCATTGCTTTCTGCCTAGCCCAGATTCAGTTTTGTGTACAGGTTATAGACGAGTACATATTATGTACGACTCTACCTGGTACTACCCATGTAAGTACCCAAAATAATTACACAGTAATGTGGGGTCTGCACCACCTACTTATTAAATTAATACCCCGCTTCCCCCACTCATCTGGAGGGCTTTCCACAACATTTTGGAGTGTGTTTGTGGGAATTTTTGCCAATCAGTCAACAGAGCATCCATGAGGTCAGGCATTGGTGTTGGGCGTGAAGGCCTGGCCCACAGGTGACGTCCTGATTTATCCAAAAGGTGTTCAGGGGGGTTGAAGTCAGGGATCTGTGCAGGCAACTAGAATTCCTCAACACCAAACCTCCTCCTAGATGCTGCCATTTCACAATAAAAGCACCTGAACTCAATAATTCAGAGGGGTGTCCACATACTTTAGTCCATCTACTACACTTAGAACTTAAGGGACTGTTAAAGAAAGCATTAACCTTTCATTTTTTTTAGCAGTATAACTGATGCTAGATATTTTGGTCCCACATGACGTGTGACTTGTTATGCACAGTTTAAGTGAAAGTAGGAGGGGACGTACCTAATGCACCAGTGGGAGCTATCACAGTCAGTGTATGTCTGGGCTGGTGGGTGGGAGCACTTGTCATGTCTGTGAAATTATGAATGGCCAGAGAGGATGGCGTGGTGTGCGAGTGAGAGAGTGTGAGGGAGAGAGAGAGAGAGAGAGAGAGAGAGAGAGAGAGGGAGGGATGGAGAGGGGAAAAGACGTGTCTGGTGATACGTAGAAGAATTGCCAACCAGCAGCACAGCCCCTCTGACAAAGGTGGAGAAAGAGAAGGTAAGAGACATCCTCTCTTTTTTCCCCTCATCTTTTAATGTAATTGGATCACGTTGCATAAATGCTGTGTCTCTATGTTTGCATTGCTAGCCTTTTAAAAAGCCAGTCTTTTTTTCTGTCTCAGAGTAGCTGAGAATAGTGTTTATCCTCCAGTGAAGTGAAGTGAATGAATTCAGAATTCTGCCTTATTAAGCTATTGGGCATCTGCATAACATCAGGTACATCACAGGCTTGGCTTAAGTGAGCGTGAGAGAGCCAGAAAGAGTCTCTAAGGTCAGTGACATGGAAATTTGTATGCAGCACTGTTCTCAAGATCAGTGAAGGGCAAGGCAGCCAGGTTAGAGTGTGTGCGTGTGTGGGGTACAACAGACATAAACATGGATATAAAGGAGTGTTTCACCCTTTGTCGTGATGCAGTGCAGAGATCTTTGAGTGCTGGTAGTGTCTTTCTGATTTCACTGTTACCCAGCACATCCATGAGGGTTCTTGAGGGTTCTTATCTCGTCAGAACACCATTTCTACCTCCAGTCAAGGCCAAAAGCCTGTGGAAAGCTCCTTAGTGTTGTAGATTCAGGCTGCATAGCAAAAAGCAGGGGTAGACAGTAGACAGCCAATGAGTCTTGCAGCCAAACTGAAGAATTTGTGTTCACAATAAGAGAAACATGTATTGACAATTCAGTACCAAAAAAGTCAGGTGTTGCGTCGAAAAAGAAAACGTTTATTAGAAACTTAAAAATGTTAATTAGAACATTGTTATTGTGTTGACCATGGTGGTCCCTCCCACCGATCTGGTCAGCCCTGATGTCATCCAATCTAGGTTATGTCATTAGGCGCACGTAAGCTACTGTAGTGATGGCCTCTCAATATAATGCCAGCTTATTTAACACATTTCTGTGGGTGCTCTTGTGGCCATTTTGCCAGAAGAATGAAAAAGATCCCAGATATTTTGGATTAATATGATCAAATAAAATTATTTTTCCCTGTAACTTTATCAGATTAACTAGGACACTGATGCCTCACCTTAGATCTTAAAAATCTAGCTCACTTCAGTTTATGTAAATCATACACATTTACATCAAAATATTTTTCATACATATTCTTGAAGACACAAAATGCATAGTACAAAAACTGAGGGCCCTCCAAAACAGGGGGAAATTGCATTGTATGGCTACTGTGAAAAGGGTTGGCACCTTATTTTATATAAGACCTCATTTCACAGTGATATACGCAAACTTCAGCCAATGAAATAGCATCTATGACACTAGGTGGCCAGCTCAACAGGGCAGACCACCACTGTCACCACACCATCACATTAGCTATTGCTTAACAAATTCTGACAAAACCTGATCTGATACAATTAGTAAGCAGGATTGTTGTAAGTCGAAAAGAAGACAAGTGGCCGCCCAGGCCACACGCTCTGCATGTTTACCGGTCAAATGTGAGATGTTGTGGCCAGGGGTACGGCACACTTGGCAACTTCGACCCATGTAAACAAGTGGGGCAAATCTCAGAAGGCCTGAGGATGCTTCCATATACAGAATGTACTAGTAATTTCACTTGGTGAAGGTGTCAACATATGATTCCAGTGAAATAGACTGATTGGCTACATTATTCAATACACCTACATTGTATGTAACAGGGTAAAAGGGGGCTAACAAAGTACGCAGAAAAACAGATGGACTACAGTCTGTAATTGTAGAACTACAAAGTGCACCTATATAGTAAGTGGAGCTGATAAAATGGACAATGAGCATAGAAACAAAGAGGTGGTCATAATGTTATGCCTGATCTGTGTATAATCAAACTCTATTATTTAAAAAAGTGAAGAAAATTCTGGGCTCTTAATTGAAATGCAATGGTGACAGTCTATAACTATTCAAGACATTTTAAAAGAAGGTGTGTTGTCCTCAAACCTTTGATGGGGAGTGTGTATAACTAATGTAAAAAAGTGGAGTCAGCAGCTCTTGAGCAGTTTGAACTTGTACCTGCCCACAGCTGGAGACCTTTAATGTTTTGTTTAATTGTCACTTTCAACTGTGTGGCCACACTGGCTTGTCTTCAAACAGTTTTATGTTGAGAAATACAGGTTATACACACTAACGTGCACATATACATACACACTGAGTAATGTACACACTCACACTTTAACCCTCCTTTTTTCCTGTGAACTGTTGTGAACTTGCACAATCATAAGCAGGAATATCCTCGTGTGGGTGTGTCTGTGTAAAAGAGTGTGACACTGTGTTTGTGTAAGTGTGTGAGCCATGCAGTGAGAGAGGGGGAGATTACTTAACGCCCCTGAACTCTGGATGATTCTGGGCGTCTCTGTGAGAAAAGCTCAGTGCTTTCAAACGTGGAAAGAACACACTTCCAGTTCATTTATCTACATGAGCAAGTCAACAAAAGTGAAGGTGACATTTAGAACCAAAACACCAGCGCATGGTGTGTGTGCCCTCTGAAAGACAGTGAAGGAGCTGGCATTATAACAGCAGCAATCAAAGGGGAATTCCACCCAATTCATATATTTTTTGCACAATTCGGTCATTAAGATGTAAAGATCATTCAGAGTGGGTTTTATGTGAAATTGTTCATTGTAGATAAACTTACCAACTAGTTTTCTTTACAGAGGTTGTGGTACAAACCAGGGGTCACAATGTCTAAAGAAAATGATCTATTATCAAAAATGACAAGTGAACCTGCATGTGAGTTTTTATGTGTAATGTTGATAAAGGTAAATTTGTGATAGATGTAAAAAAAAATCTATTTTGGGCTCTATTTTGCCTTGTAATGCCTTGTATTTACATTCATTGCCCATTTCATCATATTTATGTTCATCAGTTTTAGCTGTATTTTGTTGCTGTACAATTACAGATTACCACTTCAACATGAATGAATTTTGAAAAAAGTTTTATGCCAATACCATAATGAGTAACCTACTTAGAATTAAGTAGGTTAGTTGTATTTGTTAGTGTAAATGAGTGTGATATACCTTAACAGTTAAAATCAAGCGGATTGCAGTAGCTAGCTACACGACATTAAACATCTTGTATCGAGTAGTGCTATAGTACAAAAAAGTGGCTTTTGTTTTCCATCAGAAAAGCACTTCTGTACTGTTGTAAGTAAAGTATCTCTCATAGTTTTGATCTCCATCTGTCTCTTTCAACAACAGTATCAAACAGTATCTGTAGCACAGTGACAAGAGGAATCATATGCGTGGCTAATGCATCTAAAGAGTTCACCTGTGACGTTTTACATCTTAGTAGAGTATTTTATTCAGCTGGTTGAGCTTTAGCTCTAAAGCCAGTCATACACTGTGGGATTTTAGAAAGCTTGTTCTTTGGTGACATTTCACACTACACATTTGAATAGGCCAAATCAGACACAGGAGACACAACCCCTACAGACAGCTGTAAGGATTGTCTATGGACAATTAAGCTGTTTCCTTCCAAACAACATGCTGCATGTTTGAGTACCGAGCAGACATGTTGAGAAACTGTGCTATAGCACCTTTGCTAACTTGTGCCACACTGTGCACTGAAACCAAAACCAGGTGTTGATTTACATGGGTAGGCCGATATGTTCTCTCTACAGCCTATTTTACAAAGACAATGAAAAAACTCGACATATTAATCTCTATACCTCGCAATTCTATTCAGTTAAACAGAGTAAAGTTGGAATATATGGACTTTGGTACTACAAATTGCAAGATTTTGCCTCCATTTTGCTAGCCTATGTGTGTTCACCCATGTTATGGAAGTGGTTGTGTTTAAAAAGAGCTAAAATTGCCTAACAAGAATGGTGGTAATAGACAAAGGCGAAATGTTTAAAGTGTCCTTTGTGTCCAATTGCCACAGCTACAGCAACACTTTACCATCACCAGCATTGTCTACTCTGCTGAAAAAAAGATTTTAGAACCATTAGTATTAAAACCTGGTGATTTTTGCTTTCTAATGGGAACTGGCTTAAGGGTTACCACTACAGACCACTCGTTTCCCATAGGACACCTTAAGATCCAATCAGGAAACCATGATATGTATCTTTTATCAGTCCCAGAACACCTGATAAACCATTGGAGTCCTTTACACTATGACATGAATTCATCAGTAAAACAGAAAATACCCTTACAGACTACTGGACACCACCAGGAACCGACAGAAACTTAAGCCATCTTAGTGATTTAATTATACAGACATTTAAAAAAAAAAGTCAGAATTCTCCTTTAAAAGCTTTTAAAAGGGGCTGAATAATCAAAAGTTGGCATAGATAAAGTGTACCAGAAAAACAGCAATGGCTCATTTAAAAAAGGCTAGAAAAACTAGATATAAAAGAGAACTATGAGTAAGTTCTGACTCTGTAACGTGATTGAGTGAGAGCCATTCTATGAGTGCCAGAATCTCCAAATAATGGGCACTCTGACTACATTGCCTCAATGCTATATTGACATTTATGATGGTAGATGAATGAAAACTGGATATTCCATATTTTTCAATGGAGCTTTAAAGCTATTGGGCACGATCATGACTGATCAACTTCATAGACTCGCAAATTGAATTTGACCAAATAGGAAAAAATCTCATCTGGACCATGGAGTTACAACCATGGCATGGCAGTGTTGCTAGGGTACTGTTGCCAGAGTCTTGTAGCTTTCGTGCACTAAACGTTACCCAGAAGTGGCTGCTTTGACAAGAAAGGACTATTTGACCAACCTGACCAATCACAAACTGTTGTTTCCGTGTTTTTGCAAGACCCATGGCAAACAAAAATAGTCTGCTATGCATGTTGTTGAACATGCAGGGACATCTTGTGTAACGAGATTTGCTCGCTGCTTTAAACAAGTAATTACTTGCCAAGATACTGTGAACTTCACCAACATTTCTGACACCATCCCCACATCTTATTCTGAAATGCTCATTGTTGTCTGGTGTTCTGATTTACGGTGCTCAGATTCAGTCGTGCCAGTGCCAACATCTCATGCCATAGTACTCTCTTTTATGTTTTATTATGTAAAATAAGATAATGATATAATGGGTTGATATCCAACCAGCTACTTATTCCCTAGTAGGCGCTATACACTGGTTGCTGACACTTGTAGGCTTTCTATAAATGGTGTAAAGCCTTTTTAAGTTTAGAAGTAATCAGAAAAGCATATTATGATAGGATTTGTCATAACAATAATGTTAATCATATTGCATATATAATCATATTGCAACTCAATATTGCCACTACAGTGTGTAATATATATATATATATATATATATATATATATATATATATATATATATATATATAATAACAGCACATGGCTGTGCAGAGACCTTTAAAGGGGCAAGTGCTTGAAGTTAAAAAGGAGCATGTGGTTACCAAGCAGTGATAGGAGGGCTGGGAAAAGAAGGTGGGGCTTGAGAGAAAGGTGTAGTTAAACATGCAGGAATGACTGAAAATGAATTCACTGGCCTTTTATGGATATAATCTTAGTACAGTGCTTATGTTAAATATTAACAATGTAAACCTTTGGTCTTAATAAGAAACTTGGACAAGAAAAAAAGAAAAAAAAATCAAAAGGGGCTCTACAGGCATAAACAGACAAAGGCAGGGACATTGTCAGAAATGCATGACCAACTAATCATCATGCTCCACTAAACCCAATTTTGTACATGCTTCAATACTGGCAAAGAGCAAAAATACAATCAAAGTGAAACTGCATGCTGCTGCTACTCAGCTTTAAAAATGAAGGCAATTAATACAGCATGCATGTTTGCATGCATCACATCGTATATGTGGAAAAATAAATCAGCGGACACGTGTGGTTTTGCACACTTCAAAATATAAGTGACTCTTCTGTAAGGGCAGCACTCTGAGTAGAGAGAGATCAAGTGTGTGTCAGAAAGAAAGAAAAGGCATTAAAGCAGTCTTTACTGCAATAGCCTTAGAAATTGAGGGTGAGTCAGCATAGGGGCTCATTTTGCATGATGATGAAGTCTGACAATGTGAGGTTAATCATTCTGTTCATTGTCTATGAGAACAACATTATGACTCAGCGAAGACTGTCTGACCCTGGGCGATTTCATGCACATTTCTGATATTTTTCCTCATGATAATGAAGTTTTGATATGCATGCACTTATGCTGTTATTGGGGAGACCTTGCCATTTAGTGGAACAATGGGACATCTTGGTGAATTTGTAATTGCTTGCATGTGTAGATGAACTGGAGTCATTCCCTTGTGTTTCCATGGTGACCTGGGCTCTGTCTGATTCTGTAATTGGCCTGTGTACCCACTGGCTTTAGGAGATCAATCTTGAATGAACACACGCATGCACACACATGCAAATACACACTCAGGCTACACTGTGGCCTTGATCCTTAGGCCAGAAATATACTCAATGCATGCATGCGAAAGCAAATGGCAATGACCAGATAACGCCCTTTAAACTCAGGGTCCTGCTGTAGGAACTCTTCATGTGTTCTTACGGTACTGTGGGGGTTAAAACACTCAGTACGCAAGGAGGTGAAAGGACAATTTGTGTATAGCATGTGTAAACAGAATCTACTGTTATTCCAACAGCCACAACAACAAAACGTGAAATTGTTCTGCTTTACTTGTTCTAAAGGGCCGATGATGTATCATCACTGAACACTTTATTAAGGACACTCATTTTGTAGCTAAACTCATTGTCCGTTTTATCAGCCCCACTTACCACATAGGTGCACTTTGTAGATCTACAATTACAGACTGTAGTCCATCTGTTTCTCTGCATACTTTGTTAGCCCCCTTTTACCCTGTTCTTCAATAGTCAGGACCCTGAATTCACTAACTAGAAGGGGTGAAATGAGCTTTTTGTACATAAAATGTTTCCCAACGCTGGCCTGTGTCCTGAAGAGATCTCTGTTGGTAACAAGAGAAGGTGACCTGCAGTGACCTCTAGTGGTGATGGACTGTATATGTGACAGATAAGGGCCTTCTAGTTCCCATTCCATTAAGTGCTTGTTACTGTGCTGTTGCATTGCCAGGCTGACAGACAGAAGCCCTGAGTAAGTGTGATAAAGAGCCTCTCTCCTCCCTCCTGCACCCCACTGCCGCTCTGCACCTCACTGCACCTCGCCAACATGGAGCAGAAGGTAAACAAGGAGATTTGGATCCAGATCACAGCAATCTTCTCACAAACACTGGAGTCAATCCATGTTTATTCACAGACTGACCATTTCGAATTTGCTTCGTATTTCTGAATGTCATTCTACTAGTAGTGGGTGGAATGGCTAAAAAAATGTCATGGTATAATATCTTTTGAGTTCTATTTTTGTAGGTTAACAGTGGCTTTTAATTTTTTAAATAAGAAACATGTTTAACAACTAAAGTAAATCTGAAATATTTTTATTGTGCAAAGTAGTAAAAACAAGATTGAACAGTGTGTATATAAACCAATGTCAGTATTGCTTTCTAACATTAGCCCTGTAGGCCCTGCAAAAAGAGTGTTATGTGTTGTTTCATGTCTGAATTTCTACAATTGGCTGCTTATTTGGCAGCTTTTTGTTCTTTTGTTTTGCTCCACCTTAAACAGAGCAGCGGTTACATTCTGGCAAGTGTACAATGTGTCTGAATGTAACTGCTGCACCATATATGGTGGAACTTGAAGTTCGAATCAAAAGCCAACTTCAGCTTCGTCAAATTTCTCATGTCATCTGTGCGTCCCACATACTCGTGCCTCCGACTGTCAGACACTGCTGGAATTTGGAAAATATTACAGCCATTCACGCTTCAGTTCCAGTTGGTCTGTGGCTTATCACTGCGGCCTCTTCTGAGGCAGGCGGCTTTTTAGGCGGCATGACAGGGAACGTGGCAATTGCTCTGGTATCCATATTAGGCTAAGGTTAACTCCAAAAGACTGATTACTCTTTAATGTCCATTGCAGCAAAAACAAAGTTGACCACTGAAGATGCAACAAACTAGACAGTGGGAGGTGATTGAGAGTCTGCTATGCATTCATTTTCATTTCAAATGTGAAAACAGAGAATTTTTACTCCTAATAGATTACTCTTAACAGATTTTGAACTTAGATTAAATGGGTTGAGTGACAGGTGTGACTAGTTGAGGTTCCACTTATGGCTCAGGCCAACTCATTTATGGCCTGGAAAGTCAGGTAATGCTTTTTCAATAAAAAAATTAGGAAAATTTGATAAAATTTGATATCTACGCAAAATTTCAAAAGTGTGCCCCACATCATTTTTTAGTTATGAATTTCTATTTTATATTTGTTGAGTGGATCTACAGTAGATTATGTACATAAAAGATCTCATAATAAAAACAAGAAGTGAAAGAATATGTCACCTCTCTGAAAGAATACAGACTTCCTGAATTCCTGGAAAAGAGTATTTACTGTTTCACTATTTTTAATTTGAGGTTGTAAGTCAAACTCCTCTTGTTCAAAAAGCTACCAAAGCATGAAGCAGTCATAAGACATCTGTATTTTCTATATGTCAATGAGACAGAACTGTATTTATGTATTTATACTGAAGGAAATAGGATTATCAGCAGGGAACATGCACCACCTGTGCGGCTCCAAAGCAAAATTTTTAGCAAAAATATTTACATAATTGTTTTTAAAATTTGAAATATTTTAAAATTTTTAGGTGAAAAATTTGAACATTGAGAGACATTTTACAAGTAACTGTTCTACTTTTGTGGAAAAGTTTCCTGCTGGAGATGCGAGAAAAGCAGCTACAGCTGAGCTAAAAGCAGAGCAAAATAAGTCTGTGTTTTTGTTTCTACTATATTTTTTAGCCTATACTAGCACATTAGCACATACTGAGATATATTTATAGCCAAGATGTTAAAATGGACATAAAATGTTGTGGCTCCCAAGGTGGTTTGATTTTTGTTGAAAGGACAAAACGTCTCTTCTTAACATTTGGGTTGCCGACCTCTGGATTAGTGTCTTTTTTTAAATCTAAATGGTCAAAAGGCCATATAGATTAAAGTGGGATTTTTGGTTGTGAAGCTGTTTAAACTCATGCTGTAGCTTCAAATATTCAAAAAGTCTTCTATTCCTCAGACAACCTCGCCTCAGAAACACATGGTGAAAAGCAGGTCCAAGTCCACTGAGGAAATCCAGCAAGCTAAGAAGGTGAGCAGTGCTGTCATCCCAGTTTTACATTCTCTTAGCTGAGCGCTTTCTGCTCTGAATACTCTAATATGATTCGCTGCTCTTCCATGCTTCTTACATGACTAACTGAGCACACAGTGACTTGCTCATAGACACAAATTATGTTCGATGAATGCATACTTACTGGCACTGAGCATTTTTTCAAGTTTTCCTTGTTTTCCAGGCCTTCCACATCCCCCAGAAGTCGCTTCCTGGTGGATCCGATTTAGACAAAGTGAAGGTCAGCCCACAGTTCACGTAGGGGCAAGTCTGCACGGACCAACAAAAGTGAACTGCTATTCGTCATTGTTCTTTCAACTGAATATGTCAATAATTACTGCAGCTGTGGTTAGGTCACTGTACTGTATCACTAAAATAGTTTAACAGTGAGATGTTTCGACTCTTTGTGTGTAAGAGGTCACTGTATAAGTTGTGTTTCTGTCTCTGTTTCAGGAAAGCCCTGAAGAATCTGAAACTCCTGCATCATCATCAGAGGAACTGAAGTAACACTTATAAATCTCAACCCCCCCCCCACACATATGCCCAATCTAAATCTCCGGTCTTGTCCAGACATGCAGACTTAAGTCCACAGGGCTGGAGGGCTCTAATTCTGCCTTTCATCTAGGCCACCTGACCATAATAATGCTGACTTTTTATTAACTTAAGGAAAGGCTGCTTGAGATGCAGACTTCAGCAGACTTCGCTAATGGAGTTACCCTAAATTCACAGTAGTGAGGAACCAAAAAAACCCCATGAAACCGAAACCGAAAGATACACTTGGCCTTTTTTTTGTTTCATTTAAAAAATAAACTGCATGCTAATAAAGAAATTGCATGTTTATTATTGATATAATCTGCTTTCAATATGACAAAATTGAGTTGACGATAAATAAAAACAGTTTGCATAAAAGCAGAGTTTGATTAACACACCATAAAGCTTCATAATTTCCCCAGTATATTAAAAAACAAACAATCCTCAAGAACATTTTAAAAGAAACCAAATGCACATACATTTACATGGTAATGGAGGCTTATACTAACACAGTTACAGAGCCAGTTCCCTGTAAACTAACCAGCACATCATCACACCAAACAAAACATCTGTTCTCTTCAGCTTAGGACAGATTAATGTGGTCACAATGACTAATAAAGGATTTAAAACCATACAGGCACTTTTAGCTCTACATTTTAAAGGCTACTTTTATGACATGATCACCTGTAAACCAAGAGAAACATAATTAGCCACACAGCTATCCAACATGTTATTGGCACTGCACTAACCGAGCTACGAGAATGTCAAAAAGGGGTGGGGGGAAGGGCCTTAGCTCACCCCCTAGTACCTGAATAGTGGAACTGCTTTCAACGAATGGACTGAAAAACTACATGGATCTGTAAATTAATAAAGTAAAATAAAAGAGAAATGAAATTGGGGTGGTTCTCTGTGGCCACAGTCTGGTAATATCACATACGGGCTACAGAATGATGGCTAGATTTTTCTTTCTGCATCTGTTGTTCTGCTGTATTCTGCATGTTTAGTGCTCAAACTGAACGTGTTTGTGCTGAGTGTCAAATGAAACAAACACAGCGTTTCTAATCACTACCCCCATATTTATACATTTAAATACCGGTTTAAACATGCCTTGTCCACCTGGCCTCTCCATTCCCCCTGAGGTGACATGTTAGGGGCTGTTCCATTGATTTATTAGCTCAAGTGAGGGGTGTTAGGTGAGCTTTCTAGGGGACAAGGCATCAGGTGAACACCAGTGTTGAGGTCCGCAGCAGAACTTGTCCAGAAATCATTGTGATGTGACACGTCCCTTTTCAAAGCCCAAAATAATGGCAGAAGAAGTCGTTTAGAGGCTATAGCAGTGAACTTGTTCAAAATGCTTAACATTTCAAAACCATAACATTTGATTTGCTGGGCTTCAGGTCACTCCATCTATTACACATGACTGCTGATATGACTTCATCGCTTTGCTTTGCTAGCTGGCTCGCTATCATGCTAAAGACTACATGGCTAATGACAACAAAAAGAAAGGCACTACACACTGCAACACCAAGTTAACAGCCAGCCAAAGTGATTACTCGCCCATGTTATATATGTTATGCCCAAACTTCTCAGAAAAGATTTTGCATTTCAAAGTTTGCATGGCTAGCCAATTAGCCCACTGAAGCTAACCTACTCCTAGTTCATTCTTTTTGAGTAATCCGCTCCTCATTGTCCCTTCACTTCTTCCCTTAGTGGCCACTTGTGTAACACATTGGTGTGAAAGTGGGTGAGAGCAAGTTTGGAAAAAAACATATAAAATCATGCTACTGTTTCTGTTAAGTGATTTTTCTTTACATGTTAGACTCTGGCACTTTGTTGTATACCGACCTAAACCTGTAAGTGCCACTTTCTGAGTCTCTTGGACGAAATTATTGGTGGCCAAAACTTCATGTCATAGTTCATAGCAGAATGCATGTGATAGCACAACAGGAGGAGTTCCAAAAAGAATAAATAAAAATTTTACATTTAGATAACAAGCGAACAATGAATTTATACGTAAGTAAAAAACAGTTTGTGTCCATATGTGCATATTTTGGTTTCAAAGTCTCCCACAGAAGTGAGTCGATCTGATGTCCACTCTAAGTAGTACTTTTTTATGCACTTCCAGCCGTATGACCTCAGATTAAACATGATGACGTCAAGCACTGTAGTGAACATCACAAAACGTAGATCCGAAGTCCGTGAGACCGGAGAGCATGGGGCCGTAGGTTTAGATTGGGCACTACATTATCTTCACTCATGTCACTTCCTGAAATTACCACATATGACCCATGTGCTCCTTCCCTCATCAGGATACCCCCCCCCCAATAACCAGCTGTTACTTCACCATTTTAACACATGGCCGTGTACTAAAGAGGCAGTTCATATAAACATGTTTCCATGCTGTGCTGTTGAAGAGTGTGACTGCTGTACATATCAACTGAATGTGTTTGCACAATAAAGCAGTTTGGTGAGTGTGTCCTTGCAAAAATGATATATGTTGTCTTCAATATATTTCAAATACATACTTTATAGAATCACACAGTGACTTATCTGGATGTTAAGCATTTATTTGCTCTGAAAAAAACTCCTATTTCAATAAATACAAAAAATATTCATACAAAATGTGCTGATTTTATGAATCAGTAGCTGGTTTGGCTAATCTAGCCTTCATTTTATCAAATCAAGCAATTAACAAATCTATGTGATTACTGAGGGATGCTGATAAGAAATCTGGAACCAAACTTTGTTCTTCAGACTATCTCACAAGATATTGACTACTCTTGTTACTTTTTACTGTATTTATATTTATTTACATTTATTCTAATATAATATTATGATTTTACAAGCAAAAGCACACAATGACAAGATAAATGGCTTTACATAATGTGCTTAGATGCCTTAGACTTACAGTTTATACAGTATATCGCTGCTGTCGGAACAAAACCTTGTATCTCCAAAATGGTAACTTTACAGGAGAAGGAAAAACATACTTTACTTTTAATGTAAGTCAATGGAACCAGACTTTTCTCCAAGTCATTTTGGGCCATTTCTTTTGACCCGTTCATCATGAAATTTACACACTATGTAAAGGGCAGCAGGCATTTTCAAATTACGTCAAAAACTAAAACACAAATGACAAAATTGGTGAGGTTTTGTTTCAACAACAGCGATATACAGTATATAAAGTATACAGTGTATACAGTGTATGTACAGTATATACAGTTTTGAGTATATACAGTATTCAATATGTACTATGTATATACAGTATATAAAATATACAGTGTGTACAGTGTGTATACAGTATGTACAGTGTATAGTATGTACAATCCTGTGCAAAAGTCTTAGTCACCTGAGAAAATTATATTTAATAAGTTGTTTAACAGAGTGGGAGAGAAATCCAGAACCTGTGTTCTTCTAAACAGCTTAAAAGATATCAACTACTTTGTTACTTTGACTTGTTGATTTTTACTGCACTAATGCTTGTCTGCATTTATCTAATGTTAATATATATTTGCACAAAAAAAAAACAAAAAAAAACATGGATATTGCCCAGATAAATTATGTTAAACAGTTTGGTTAGGTGCTTATCACTTGACATATTAATAATTGTTATTTTCTTCTAATAATTAATAACTTCAATATTGTAGATTGAAAAATTACAGCATAAACACCAAAAGGTGATTTAAATTGACTACTCTGACTACAATGTCTTGCTTATGACATGTAAAACTCTCAATGACGGCACTCTTACTGATCTTTTGAAGTGTCATAGCCTGTCCAGACCAATTCACTCAGCTTAGACAGGCTTACTGCAAACGCCTAGGATCACATGCAGCTCAGTTAGAGGAAGATCATTTTCTTATATGGCTCCTAAACTCTGAATATATTGCGAATGTAAGCTCAAAAATGTTTTATAACCAGATTTGAGTGATATTTGTTTAGGCTGGCATATGCCTACAGTACTGCGGCTCATTTTTTTCCCTATTGTTTATAATTGTGCCGTCATTTCTTTTAGGCCCGTGATCCTCAGTCCTGGTCCTAGAGATCTACCATCCTGCAGATCTAGGACGGTATCCTTAATCTACCACCTCATCCAGGTACTGAAGGCCTTCAGGGGCATCTGAACATTAGACCCGGGTATGTTGGATCTAAAGTCTCCAGCGTGGTAGATCTCGAAGGACCAGGACTGGACACTGGTATTTTATCTCTTCAGTGTTTTGCTTGTGTTTCTGTGTAAAGCACTTTGATGCTTTGTTACCAAAATGAAAAGTACTATAAAATTGAATCTAAATCTACTTTTTGAGAATACTTATTGGCTTATGTTCTAAAAAGTCAGTTTCCCAGACACAGTTTAATCTTTGAACTGACGTAAAAGGATTTCCAGTGGATAATCCCTATTGGCAATGTAACTGAACCCTAAATTTGCCTGTCCACATAACAGACGCTTAATAGGTGACTGTAGAACACACCAATAATTTGGCTCAAGACTCATTTGAGAGGTTTTATTTACATGTACGTGCAGACAAATGTTGTTGTGGATAATGAGAGCCTACAAGGTATTTAAAACATGCATGTACACACAAATGTCGCAGTGATTATTATCATTCTGTGCAGCTTTAGAAGTGGAGAAGATACCAGCATACAGCTGGAGTCGATTAAGAGCTTTAAAAATGACTTTAAAAAGATTCTGGTCTTTTTCCAGTAGCATCTATGGCCACATTAGCAGCTTCTCTGACTGCCTTATGGGTTTTATTTGTCACATATATTTTTAGCCAACATAAGCGCCATACCATCATAACCCTTATAATTTTTATATATGCTGCTATACACGGGTTTGAAGAGGCGGTGTTACTTTCAAAAGATGCTCCACGCTGTGCCAAAGAAATTCAGAGCAGCATATTTAAGGCTTGCAATACATGTTTAAAGCATGTGGAAATGCAGTTCTCTAATGTGACACTGGAACACATTTTCAAGGCCTTGGACAGAATATAGTATAGAATATAATACAGTTGTACACAAAAGTTTGCGCACCCCTGGTCAAATTAAATGTGTTGTAGTAAGTGAAAATGAGTGAACACGTCCTCCACAGAGAACACACTTCTGCTCATTTGAATGCACAGTTACAGTTTATTTGCTGAATTTAACATACTGGAAAGAATAAATCAAAATGTGACCTGTGCAAAAGTTATGGCACACTTTTTTATATGTAGATTTTATTTTTTTCAATGTGTTATGTGTAGAAAATAATAGAAAATAGAAAATTGTATGTTTTTATAGTTAGGTTTATATTAAAGTTTGTAGAGGGCGAGTTTTCACAACAGAACATGTAATTTCGGGGTGCTCAAACTTTTGCATACGACTGCACTCAAAGCACTGACATCTGACTTTAAACAAATACTCCAGTGTTTTTCTACCTAATCTTTATCTGCATCTGTAGCATATGGTGCATTACCACTCACAGTGTTTATATTTCCCTGCATTTAGGAAAAAAAAACACTCTTATAAAAACTCTTATAAAAAACTCTTATTAAAAACTCTTATAATACAAACTCAATTCTAAAGAAGTTGGGACAGTTTGTGAAATGCTAATAAAAACAGAAAGCAGTGATTATTAAATTAATTAAATTCTGTTAGACATGCATTAAAATGAAAACAGTACAACAGCACAATATTTGACATTTTACCTTATGATACCTTATCACTGTTTTTTTGTAAATATACACTCATTACAAATTGGGTACCTACGTTATGTTCCAGAAGAGCCATGAAGCAAGTTTTTTCATCGTATTACATCACAATCTTCAGCTGTGCAACCATACAGGGCCTACATTGTTATATTTTCAGCTTGTTAAGGCACACGTTCTCTATGAGAGACAGTTCTGGACTGCAGGCAGGCCAGTCTGGCACACTTTCTGAGTATCCAGCCATGCTGTTGTAAGATGTTCAAAATGTTTCTTGGTTTTATGTTGAAATAAGCTAACATGTCCCTGAAAAAGACATCATCCAGATGGCAGAATAGGTTCCTACAAAATAGGTTGAGCATTATTGGTGCTGTCGCAGATGTGCAAGTTACCCAATAATACCCCTCATATAACATACGGTAGCTATTGAACTCTACACAGGTACAACATCCATTCCTTTTATAAACAATCTAAAATGCTGACTCGTCACACCACAACACACGTTTCTACTGTGCATCAGTCCATTTCAGATAAGCTCAAGCTCAGTGGACGCCGTTTCTGGACACTGTTGTCCTATGGCTTCAGCTGTGCATAGTGCCGTCTTAACTCTCATTTGTGGGTATAGCAATTGACTTTTATTGACAACAGTTTGTCAAAGTATTCCCAAGCCCATATGGTGATATGCATCACAAAGACATGCCTGTTTTTAAAGCAGTGCCATCTTAGGGGTTGAAGGCCAAGGGCATGCAGTTGTGGTTTTACACTTTGCATTTACAAACAGAGATTTCTCAAGATTCTTTGAATCTTTTGATGTTATGCATAGTAGAGGATGAAATACCTAAACTTCTTGCAATCCCCCACTGAGCAGAGTAATTTTTAAACTGTTGGCATGGTCTCCACTCATGCCATTTTTTGGCTGAATTGTTCATAAACAGTAAGTGTTCAAAACAAACCTTTTCATTTGTAGCATGTGTATGCTGCTTATGTAAAGCAATTATTAATCGTGCTCAGATATTATAAAAATTATTTACTAAAAAATGTGTAGGTTGTTTCCTGCTCTCCCTTATACATTATATTCAAATTAATTCAATGCATGCCTTTTTCAGGGGATGCATACTATGAAAATGTGAAGCACTTTTTAATGATACTGAGTGGAAAAAATAATTACTTGAAGCCCTGTTTTAAACAAGAGTGTTTGTAAATGCAATCTTAAGGAGCAGCTTCCTCAGAGGACTCAGCATTTGAGCTTGTGTTAAAACCCCTTAGCACCTAAGTGTGAAAACACTCTGTGTTTTGCCTCAGAACCTCTCATGATGAGTGCACCGCACTGTCAGAAGTGTCTCACAAATCCTGCAGAAGCTCTTTCAGAACTCTTCATGCAGTCCGTAAACACTTGACTCCTTCAATTTGCTACCATCCCACTCGGACCCTGTGATGGGAGCGCTTATTTATGCGGAAGAACAGAGTGTGTTTGCCAGATATCCCTCAGTGTACACACTCGTTCATCTTACAAGTGCTTCAGTCAGCAAAAGCAGCTTTCCGTTAGACACACAGAGGGTTGTAAAAGATATAAGCTGATAAAGTGCACTCGATGTCAAATGAGCTATTTTGAACTGAGTATTTATATCTGCACACAGGATCACAGATTTACATGATTCAGTTTCTATTTGATTTAATTTAATTCAATTTAGTTAAATTCAGTTTTTTTTAATGTTTTCTTTAAGTAACTGGTTTACATAAAACGGACAAAACTTTATGAAAGCACATTTCAATGAATGAAAACGGTTTAATTTGATCCAAAGATAATTCCATTCTAATGAAATC